TATGGAGGGAAATCGTTATTACTGAGGTTATGATGTAGGCACTATCTCTAAGCCATGAGGACACCTCTCTAATAAGGACACCTGCAGCTTACTTGAGGTTGACTGTCATGGCAAGGACTTTAGCGAAGGTCTGCTTGGCGAGATAGGCCAGAGCCACGCTGTCGCTGCTCCCTGACAACCCCACAACTTAGGGGAGAGAGGGTGGGGTGGGTGGGCACTAAATAGAAAGTAAGTTCAGAACCGTGCTGGCAGGCACTCACCGACTGTGGAGCTCTTGAGCAGCCGCATCATCATGACGGCCTTGCGGAAGGCCTCCGTCGTCTGCGCGCTCATTTTTTCGGCTGCAAAAGGAGACGGAATACGGCCCACTTTCTTCGCTTCACTCACTCCCCGCGCGCCGCCCGCGAGAGTCGTCCACGTGTTGAACTTTAGACCCTGAAAAGCCAATGGTAAGTTGTTCGTCGTCGTCGTGGCTGGCTCGATTCTTGTCTCACACGCAGGCCGGAGCCCCCGTGAAGGACGTGACGTTCCCTGACAACCCCGCCACCAAGACCCTACTGCTGGAGAAACATGCAGACTACATCGTGGCCTTCGAGAAAGACAAAGATGACTTGGTTTGTGTCGTGGGCACTAGCCCCCCTCTCTCTTCCTTTAGCTATGATACTTTGTTGTATGAGATAGTAACTTCATGTATACAATTACAATATTATATGATACCCATTGCATTTCATGTTGGATGATGTGTTGTGTTACCATGGTCTTTTCAGGAGTACTGCATTACGGAGTTCTTGAGGGTGAGTGGAGTGTACTGGGGACTAACAGCCATGGATCTGATGGGGCAGCTGCATCGAATGAACAAGGCTGAGGTGGTGGAGTTTGTCAAGTCTTGTCAGGACCCCTCGGGGGGTTTCGCCCCCACGGAACACCATGACCCCCACCTTCTCTACACCCTCAGTGCAGTACAGGTGGGGGCAGAGGAGGGGCCCGGAGTTACACTGACACCTCCTATTTCTGTCTCTGCCTCTAATGTTCCCCACACCTCATGCAGCAAAACTTTGCCTCCACACACGCACACACGTGCCTACTCTTTCTCTCTGTAGGTACTGGTTTTGTATGATTGTGTGGAAGTTGTGGATGTCGAGGCAGTGGTGACGTTTGTGAAGGGACTACAGCAACCTGACGGATCTTTCATTGGAGACAAATGGGGTGGGTCTCCCCCTCTCTCTCCGCCTCACTCCTTCCTCTCTCTCTCTTCCTCTCTCACCCACACACCCACCGTCTTGCTGCTCAACTGCAGGTGAAGTGGACACCCGTTTCTCCTTCTGTTCGCTGGCCTGCCTAGCACTACTGGTGAGGAGGAGGAGTGAAGAAAACCAGTTAAACCAGTTAATCAACGTAGCTGTGAGAACGAATATACATGTGTAGGACAAAGGACTTCAGGGCACAAACTTTCATACCTAAGGACTTCGGCTATTGTCTTTTTCTCCAACCCCCAAATCAGCAAAAACAGAGGGAAGGTTGCCTTGTGACCTCGCTGTGTCTGTGTGTTGCAGGGAAGGCTGGAGGAGGTGGATGTCGAGAAGGCAGTACAGTTTGTGTTGAAGTGTATGAACTTTGACGGAGGGTTTGGGCGTGTTCCTGGCTCTGAGTCACATGCAGGACAGGTATGATACAGTGGGTAACCCCTGGTAATCCAGGACAGGTATAATACAGTGGGTAACCCCTGGTAATCAGGGCACTTGTGGTGTGGAGTAAAGTGTCCTTATTAGAGAGGTGTCCTTGTTTCTGGAACTGTTCTCGGGGAGAGAAAGGTGTCCTTATTAGAGCGTTGTCTTTGTTTAAAGGGTGCAAGAACTGTTCTTGGTAGAGAAGTGTCCTCATTTCAGGGGTGTCCTTAGAGGGGGTTCCACTGTTTCCTTTCCTCATTCTGCATGCAGGTGTACTGTTGTGTGGGTGCTCTAGCTATTGCAGGCCAGCTGTACCACGTGGACGCTGACCGACTGGGCTGGTGGCTCTGTGAAAGACAACTGCCTTCCGGCGGCCTCAACGGTGGGTGTGGTTGTGTTGGTTGCCTGGAGACCTCTGTATGCACTCCTTCTTCTGTCTCTCTCTCCCCTCTCACGCCTGTTTCATATGTTTTCTATGAGGCACATAGGTGCAGTTTCTTATCTCTGCTTGCCATAAAACTATTTCCTGCCCAGCATGAGACTCTTCCCCCACTGACTCTGTGTGTGTGTGCGTGTGTGCGTGTGTTCCTCTCCTAAGGTCGACCGGAGAAACTGCCAGATGTGTGCTACTCATGGTGGGTGCTGGCCTCTCTAGCCATGCTCAACAGACTCCACTGGATCAACAAGGTCTCCACTAAAAATATCACCATAAATAACCTGAAATAAACATAAAAATTTTGGGGTGTTTCAAAAATTTATGTCTTCACTGCATATGAGTCAATTTGTTGTTGTGTGTCATGTGTGTGTTAGGGTAATCTATCTTTTGACAGGCGAAACTGACAGAGTTCATTCTGGCCAGCCAGGACGATGAAACTGGTGGTTTTGCTGACAGACCAGGAGACTGGGTAAGTCTCCACCTCCTCACCCTTCTTTCTCTATAATACCCTTCTGCCAGCTCAGGTGGACCCTTTCCACACCCTCTTTGGTCTGGCCGGACTCTCGCTGCTAGGCAACAAACAGCTCAAACCAGTCAATCCAGTTTTATGCATGCCTCAGGAGACAATCGATCGTCTAGGACTCAATCTCACCCTTTTATCATGACGTATATCATTTCCAATTTCGTATTCAAAATTTTTTTTTATCAACATAACATCAGTGAGTTCTGGTTTTCCTAACTCTAGCTTTGCCTCTGCCAGTAGTCCATCCTCCAGTCTTCTTGCTGGAAAACTTCCCCATCCCCACCTTCCCTAGTCCTCTCCCTCTCCGCACACCCTCCCTACCTCCCTGTTGAGACCCTCTCCACTTCACGTTCCCTCCTCTCCCTCTCCTCACACCCTCCCCACCTCCCCCAGCTCCCTGCTGAGACCCTCTCCACTTCACCTTCCCTCCTCTCCCTCTCCTCACACCCTCCCCACCTCCCCCAGCTCCCTGCTGAGACCCTCTCCACTTCATCTTCCCTCTGATCTCAACTCGTGATCTCTTGGCCGGTGTTCCACCTGCACCCCTCCCCCTCCTCTTGCGAGTCCCACCCCCAGCTGGAACCAGCATGTCTGATGTAGAGAGGGATCACATGACCCAATGTGACAGTCACATGACCACCTCACCTGGGTCTGGCTCCTCCCCCACCTCTTGTCTGAACCACTCCCTATCGTCCTCTTCCTCACTACCACCTTCATAATCATAAACCACAAATATAATGTTGGCATTCCAAGTATGTTATACTGACTTTCATCTTCCTGTTTCTTGCCCTTCAGGCCTTCCAAACACCGTTGCCTGCAGGAAATGAGGATCTCAGGCTGTATAATAATGTCCACGCATTGCCATGTGTGGTAATAATGTAACTTGAATGTCTATAGTTTATGGTCACATTTTAACCCAATTGTGTAAGTGACTAAAGGCTTTCGTACTTTTGTGAAAATGTCAGACCAACAAACCATCCGGAATACCTCGACTATAGCTAGAAAATGTAGTGTAAATGGCAGTTAGAGTAACAGTAAGACGTAGGTTATAGCCAGGCGTGGTGGTCTAACTTATGGAGTTCCGTCTCTCTCTTCTTTCTGGTCACGTTCTCCTCCTGCTGTCTCCTGCGCTGTGACCTCAGCTTCTCCCTGTCCTCGACTCTTCTTCTCACGTCACGAGCCTCTCGTTTCGTCTTCTGAACTGCCAGAGAAAGGAGGAGGAGGAAGACGCAATGAGAGAGAGGGACACGGTCAAAACTACCGTGACTTACTAAACTCATGGTGTAGCACCTCTCCTTTGCACATACCAGCTTCAACTTTCACCAGTTGTAGTGTTAGCCTCGGCCCCAGCTATTGTATACATTACATGGCAGTAGAGAGCAACATCGTCAAACTTAGTAGAGAGCTTCAACAATACATCAAACTAAACGTAAACCCATTGTAAGTTACGAGACTGTTTGTCTGCACAACGGAACTCCATAACAAGAAACAACTGCACTCAAGAACCTCTTCCAAACTCTAAGACTTGTCAGCTGTCCCCTTACGTGGTTCCACTGCACACAAACACCGGTGACGACACAGAGACTCCCTCACCTCAATCAGTCGCACCGAGCTCTGAGTGGATTTGAGATTCCCTCTCCCGCGGAGATTCTGAGGCAGGGTCACTTCCTGTCCCGCCACCTCCTCCCCCTCGCTCTCCGACACGTTACCCCTGGTGGGCGGGGCCTCGAGGGACAGGATGTGATGTCATAGGAACTGACTCACCCCAACATGTACTCGCTGATGTCCTGGTATCGACTGAGGTTTGGGACGGAAGCTTTTCCGAGTCTCTTTACAGCGCGACTGATCCCTCGCGCCACCGCCCGGATACTGCTGCTCAACACGACCGACCAATCAAATCACAGGTAGAGGTCACATGACTAATTCACTCACTAGTGCCGTAACTCAATCATCTTGTCGTCGGTGTTGTAGTTGAAGAGAACACAGCGATTTATGTTTGCCAACTTCACCTTTACATCATGAAATTTGCAAAATTCGAGACACGAAATTTAACCAACTACGTTTTCCCTTATGTCCCTACTTCCTCGAAAATGCTTTTAAAAAATGCGCTCCATTTAAAAAAAACTGTTATGAGTAAGGTAAATTGGTAAAATGCCATTACTTACAGTTTGAACATTGAGGGAAGGGAGCATGCTCTGTAGCATGGCGGCCATCAGTTTTGACGACTTGTCCTCTGACGAGAAATTGTTGAGAATTAGCTGCACAGGAGTGACACACAACTGTTTAGTGTCGCCACCTTATTACGGGACTTACGAGAGGGGCAGTCATATACTGAGTGAGAGAAGTCGCTGTCTTTCTGACGCTAGAGATGACGTCTCGAGTCAAACTGAACTGCAGAAAGTCAAGGCAGACATACACGATGTGGCTAAGTTGGCCAGCGACTGAGTCTCATGCAACTTAAATGTATGGGTATATCCCTATCATAGCCCCATACATCTATGATGCTAGGTACCATGCCCATCCCTATATACTAAGTACTGCGGTAGTTAGTGATATGATGGTTCCATGCGAAATGTTTAGTAGTGTGTGTTAGCTCAAGACTTTCAAAAGTTGTGTCATGTACTTAAACTTTAACCACTCCCTCACTCTCTTCTCTACATCCTCCTCTTTCTCTTCCCCGCTCACTCACCCCAGTGATGTGAAAGGTGACGGTGGGCCCGCGGGGCAGCCGGCAGATTCTGAGATTGACGTGGGTCTGGGACCGAGACAGAATGAGGAAATGGGACACTCCGAGAGGGCCGGCCACATTCACGAAATCCATCAGCACATTCCTCTGTCTCACCTAGCAACACAACATTCTAATTCAGACCCTTAGCTATGCCGTAATCATAATTTCAGACAACAAACTTTTCTAACTGAGCTTATGTAGTAGCTACAGTAGTGGTCTTGGAAGCAATGCTAATGATGTGCGAAGATCCCAATGCACATTTTAGCCAACAATTGGTGGATTGTGAACCCCGACCTTTAGTTTGGAGGCGGTGTGTGGCTCCATGACCCTCCTCAGATCACGAACCAATTGGCCCAGGGTTCGCCCTACTCTTCCTCTCTCCATAACAAAGGTGTTGGGAGTAGGCTTCTCCTCTTGCCCCTCCTGGACCACGTGACTCCGCTTCTTGGTCTGTGTACGTACATGTACGATGGAGAGAGAGGTGAGAAGGCACCACGTGGGTTGGGCATCAATTAGAAATTCCCGCTACTTTGTGAATTTCTTTACTTGTGACGCGATTTCAAAAACTCCTCGTTTGCTAGACTACTAATTCACTCACTCTTCTGGTTCGCCCCATTCTTTGACTGGCTGCTTGGACAGAGACTCAGAGAGCTCCTTCCTTAGCTTGTGGGATGGGACGTCACGCCCACTAATTTTCAATCAAGCGTGAAAATGAATCTTCGCTTCCGCGTGCTGCTTCCGGAAAAGCGACGTCGACCAATCAAATCTCCCCACGATCAGAGCGCCGTCCAATCAGCGACGGCCACAAAACGGGAGTGGGCGGAGTGTGGCGCCGATTCCGACCAATCAGATCTCTCCACGGATAGCATCTCGCGCGCTATAAGAACACTGCATGCTGCGCCAAGCTGCATCAATAATCCTCGAGAAGAAGGCGGATATTTCTACGGAGGAGCGAAGGAGAAGAAACTATGAGAAGAATTCTAGCTCTGGCGTGTTTGCTGGCCTCGCTGATAGCGCAGGTCCCAGCCGGCGTGGAGGACAAGGAAGACGTTGGGACGGTCATTGGGATCGACTTGGGCACGACCTACTCATGGTATGCAAACTGCTTTTACTCTTTATATTTGGTACACGAACTGCTTTCAAGTATAAGTGAGTGTCTGTCTGGAGTTTATTTACATTTTCGCTCATCCTCCTCCTCTCCCAACTGCTATCTACAGTGTTGGAGTGTACAAGAATGGTCGTGTGGATATCATCGCTAACGACCAGGGGAACCGCATCACCCCCTCCTACGTCGCCTTCACTCCCGACGGAGAGAGACTCATCGGGGACGCGGCCAAGAACCAGCTCACCTTGAACCCCGAAAACACTGTATTCGACGCCAAGCGGCTCATTGGACGAACTTGGAACGACCCAATGGTCCAGAAGGACATGAAGCTCTGGCCGTTCACCATCAAGAAGAAGAACAACAAGCCACACGTCCAGGTCAACGTGAAGGGAGAGGATAAGCTCTTTGCCCCAGAGGAAATCTCTGCCATGGTCCTGATAAAAATGAAGGTATGTTTAACATTCATTTATTTCGGAACGTTTTCACTCTTATTGTTCTCTCCACTTGATGTCAGGAAACTGCCGAGGCGTACCTCGGTCATGAGGTCACCCACGCCGTGGTAACAGTCCCCGCCTACTTCAACGACGCCCAGCGACAGGCCACCAAAGATGCTGGGACCATCGCCGGACTCAACGTCATGAGGATCATCAACGAACCGTGAGTTATCTCGCTCCCCTCACCTCTATCTCGCTACCTTCCTCTCTATCTCACTTTCCTCATCCATCTACTCCTTTACCATTCCCTATCTCGCTGCCTACCCCTCCCCTGCCTACCTACCTCCACTTATCTCACCACTTCTTTCTTTTCTCCCCTGGGTGTGTAGGACGGCAGCAGCTATTGCGTACGGACTCGACAAGAAGGAGGGAGAGAAAAACATTATGGTCTTCGATCTCGGTGGAGGAACATTTGACGTGTCTCTCCTCACTATCGACAATGGAGTCTTTGAAGTCGTGGCAACTAATGGAGACACTCATCTTGGTACGTGCTCACCAACCGTTCCTCTCACATTTATAAGCATCTTGGACTTAAAAAGTGTAGGTGGTTAAATCTTGTGAACCGAAGTGAACCCAGGCATTTTAAGACTCAATGAAACTTGGTACGGCTATAGTGAAAATTTGATTTGAAGGTCCCCCTGCAGTTTATAGTAGCAGTTTCGATATCGTTTCATGTACTGCTCGCTCAAATCCACAACAGGCGGTGAGGACTTTGACCAGAGAGTGATGGAGCACTTCATCAAGCTGTACAAGAAGAAGACGGGGAAGGACATCCGTGGAGACAACCGAGCCGTCCAGAAGCTGCGACGAGAGGTGGAGAAGGCCAAGCGAGCTCTCAGCTCCCAGCACCAGACTAGGATCGAGATAGAGTCATTCTACGACGGGGAAGACTTCTCAGAGACTCTGACCAGGGCCAGATTCGAGGAACTGAACATGGTGCGTTGCAGGGTTTGACATTAAAAACTTAATACTAGTTAATATCAACCATGTTCTAGGTATTTCTATATTATAGTAGGTGCTTAACTTCAAGGGTGTTTAGTTCTATTCTGAAGATGTTTCAGCTCTCTCTCCCTCTTCTGTTTAATCTTGCAGGACCTGTTCCGCTCGACAATGAAACCGGTTCAACAGGTTATGGAGGACGCCGACCTAAAGTACAGCGAGATTGACGAGATTGTTCTGGTGGGCGGGTCCACTCGAATCCCAAAGGTCCAGCAGCTGGTGAAAGACCAGTTCAACGGGAAGGAGCCGAGTCGAGGGATCAACCCTGACGAGGCCGTGGCTTACGGAGCGGCCGTGCAGGCAGGGATTCTGAGCGGGGAGGAAGAGACGATGGGACTTCTTCTGCTCGATGTTAACCCTCTCACCCTCGGCATCGAGACAGTGGGCGGAGTCATGACCAAGTTGATCCCGCGAAACACAGTCATCCCGACAAAGAAGGCCCAGATTTTCTCCACTGCCGCAGACAACCAGCCAACAGTGACGATACAGGTGTACGAGGGAGAGAGACCGATGACAAAGGACAACCACCTCCTCGGGAAATTCGACCTCCAGGGGATTCCACCTGCACCCCGTGGAATACCCCAGATCGAGGTCACGTTCCAGATTGACGAGAACGGGATCCTTACCGTGATGGCAGAGGACAAGGGTAGCGGGAATCAGAACTCCATCACAATCACCAACGACCAGAACCGACTCACGCCCGAGGACATCGACCGCATGATCAACGACGCGGAGAGGTTCGCAGAGGAAGACAAGATGGTTCGGGAGAGAGTGGATGCCAAGAACGAACTGGAGAGCTATACTTACTCTCTCAAGACCCAAGTCAACGATGAGGAGAAACTGGGCAGCAAGCTCTCGGAGGAAGAGAAGCAGAGCATATTGACGGTAGTGGATGAAGCCATTGAATGGTTGGACTCTAACCCTGAGGCCGAGACGGAAGAGTACCAAGCAAAGAAGAAGGAGGTGGAGGATGTGGCAGGTCCCATCATCAGCAGATTGTACCAGCAGGCAGGCGGAGCCCCGCCCCCTCCCGAGGGTGGGGAAGAGTACGATAAAGACGAACTGTAGGTCACTATAGCAATTATCATAGGGTGTAACTTATCAGTCATGATACGCGCGTGATGTCTTCACCAGTTCTTTGTTTGTGTATACTTTTATGCCGCTCTCTTCCTCCCTCATGATCCGAAGTTCTTACACTTCCGAAGTTACGCATGCGCAGAAGGTGCGCATTACACCACCTTCCTTTGCAAGCGACGTACGCACGCATGCGCGATTATATAAAGGTGCAGCTTGTCGAGCTCTCTTCTTGCACCAGACAAACCCGTCAGCAATAAAGGAGATGGCTGAAGGCGAGTGGGGAGAAGTTACGTTCAAGAAGAGGCCCATGAGAGCTGCCGAGGCTAAGTCCCAAAAGGTATGCACTGTGAGAGGATCGATTTCCAATTAGAGCCCCCCTGCTGATGCAATTCGCAGGCTCTCAACCAAGCCCAGAGAAAAGGCCAGGGGATCGAGACGTCCAAGAAATGTAATGTGAACTCTTCGACGGGGAAACTGTGTGTTTGAAATGTATGTGTAAATGTCCAGTTACTGCGGCCACTAACAAGCAGCATTCAGCGGCAAAAGACACTGCCAAGCTGGACAGGGAGACAGAACAGCTTCGCCGTAAGTCACCCAACCTCCCAAATGCCCTCTTTATTACTCTTCTCCCTCCAGACGACACCGTTACCCTCAGTTTATCACGAGCTCTCCAGCAGGCCAGGGTCGCCAAGACCTGGTCTCAGAAAGATCTGGCCACTGTGAGCTCTCTGCCTTACCCTCCCTTCCTCCTTTCTCTTTCTATTTCTCCCTCCCTTCCTCTTCTCTCTTTCTATTTCTCCCTCCCTTCCTCTTCCACTATTGCTATACAATATCTCAAACCCTCCTCCCCTGTCCTGTGTGTGCATAATGTGCACTCTCTTTGTTTTGAGTCCACACCTTCCCTCCCCTCCTTCCTCCCTGGCGGCACCAGAGGATCAATGAGAAACCGCAGGTGGTTAATGAGTACGAGTCAGGGAAGGCGATTCCCAACCAGCAAATCATTGTTAAACTGGAGAGGGCATTGGGGGTGAAGTTGAGGGGTAAGGATATCGGGATGCCCCTTGGACCAAAGAAGAAGTGATTCAAGGGGCAGAACACTGCTTTCTTCCCAAATCATCATTATTGTGTGTGTGTGATGCTGATGTGATGTAACCGTCCGCAATGAATGATTTTCACTGCCAAAGTAGATGACATAGCGCTAGTATAATTGAGTACACACTCGGAAGGACAGGGTAATAACCTAAGTACGAACAATTTAGCCCACCTTATGCATACAAAATCTTTGTCATCCCATATTTAACAGTAACTATTGAAGGTGGCTTGCACTGCACTCTCCAGCTATAGTCAATGTATTCAGGATGGTTTGTTAGCCTGTCCTTCCGTTCGTGTACTCACTAAAAGTACGAACAATTTAGCCCACCTTATGCATACAAAATCTTTGTCATCCCATATTTAACAGTAACTATTGAAGGTGGCTTGCACTGCACTCTCCAGCTATAGTCAATGTATTCAGGATGGTTTGTTAGCCTGTCCTTCCGTTCGTGTACTCACTAAAAGTACGAACAATTTAGGCCACCTTATGCATACAAAATCTAGGTCATCCCATATTTAACAGTAACTATTGAAGGTGGCTTGCACTGCACTCTCCAGCTATAGTCAATGTATTCAGGATGGTTTGTTAGCCTGTCCTTCCGTTCGTGTACTCACTAAAAGTACAAACAATTTAGGCCACCTTACCAGCATGTGTCCAAAATCTAGGTCATCCCATTTTTAGCAGTAACTAGTGAGGGTGGCTTACACTGCACTCTTCAGCTATAGTCAATGTATTCAGGATGGTTTGTTAGCCTGTCCTTCCGTTCGTGTACTCACTAAAAGTACGAACAATTTAGGCCACCTTATGCATACAAAATCTAGGTCATCCCATATTTAACAGTAACTATTGAAGGTGGCTTGCACTGCACTCTCCAGCTATAGTCAATGTATTCAGGATGGTTTGTTAGCCTGTCCTTCCGTTCGTGTACTCACTAAAAGTACAAACAATTTAGGCCACCTTACCAGCATATTATGTGTCCAAAATCTAGGTCATCCCATTTTTAGCAGTAACTATTGAGGGTGGCTTACACTGCACTCTTCAGCTATAGTCAATGTATTCAGGATGGTTTGTTAGCCTGTCCTTCCGTTTGTGTACTCAATTATTGCCAGCACCTCAAATGCTTACTTCATCTTGCTACCCTACCCTCTGCATCACATCTCTCTTTCTTATGTCGCCCCCCTTCCCCCCTATATATCTCGCTCCCCAATTTCACTCGTTTTCTGTTAGACATGATCCCAGGTTAGATACACAGTACATTAACATCAGTGGGACTAGGAACGGGTTAGTCCCTACGAAGAGGGACTCGTTTCATGTCCACCCCAGCAGCGGTGATGACACAGATCTCCAGACCATCTCCGGTGTATATGTCCCTCTCGGCTGCAGCACTGAACACATCCTGTACCAGAGCCACTGCCTTGTCCTGCGACAGTGGCACCTCCTCCGCGCCACTCTGGTTCTTCAGTCCTATCTGCAGTCAAGAAACATGACCATATTTATAGCATTACACATACACAGAGTGAACACACCTACATACCGTAGAGTTCACAAATAGTAATTCTGGTTTTGACTTGGACACAGGAAAAGAGTAAGTCTGCATTTAGGGAGCTAAGCAATGCCAGCCCTTCTGAATCTCCATATGGAAACACATGGTGTGCCCCTCTACATCCTAATAGATTCTACCCGTCTTCCTTCGAATTTTCCCTAAATGTGACCCTCGGAGGGTGTTCTGTCTTCTTGCCTGATTGTCCAGAAGTGGCTGAAGCATGGAGGACGCCGAACCACCAGCTCTGTATGTCTCTCTGTCGTAAGATCCAACCACATCAAAACTGTATACACAACCTCTCCCTGATGTGTGTGTGTGTGTGTGTAATAAGTGACGGGGAGAACGAGGGAACTCCTCACATTAGTAACACCAACAGTTACACTTTCACCTTCATTGTCCAGTCCAGCCAGTATATTGAAGGCATAGTAGGGGAAGAATCTTCGAGAGTAGAGCATGACTGAAAGCCTCTGGGCCACTGCTGCACAACTGATGGGAGGGGTTTTCGGATGTTGAAACAAAAACATTTACACTTACCTCATCTTCTTGCGGTGAAGGTGCTCATAATCCTGATAACAATAGATCAATGGACGAACAGCATAACATTTGCTGTGCGTGTAGAGGGTGTATACCTTTATTCGGGATTTTATGTTTTTGGTTACAGTCAGCACATCACCGTGGAAGCCACAGCACCCCAATACCATATTGTCAGACCTAACCAAGAAGGGAGAGGTGAGGGTGGATTACTGCCAGGGCTGTCTTTGCTGCTCACAGTTGGTAGGTCTTGGGGTAGTCTCTGCTGTAGATCTGGAAGCCCTCACTGAGGCGGGTGTCTGAGGCTATGACTGCAAAATCCTCTCCTGCCAGAGCCAGGACGGTGCTGGAAGGGAAGGAGTTTGGATTCTAATAAAAGCCCACCGTCTTTACTCACCCTCCGTTCATGGAGTAGGGACTCCAGTCTCTCTGCACCTGGTGCTGGGTTGGCACTCTAAAGTCCAGCTCCATACCTTCAGTTCGGATCTCAACCACTTCGTCTGCAGACTCCCGCTAGAAAAGATACAACACAGCAAATTGTAGCTCACGTGCACCTGCTGCTGGGCATTATTTAGAAACGGACGTCTTCCACGGCCGTTTCTCGCCCTCCTGGTGAGCTGTTCACGTTTTCTGCGGCTCCTGATTGACAAAATCATGCCAGTAAGTTCTACTCAACTGTTAATTATTTGGCGAACGTTTTAGAAAGAATACTGGTATGAAACGCTTCCCCCTCTTCTCCCTCTCAGCTATTTTACTCGTTCTTCAAGTCGTTGGTGGGTAAAGAAGTCATTGTCGAGCTAAAGAACGACCTTTGGTACGCCAAGTAACGTTAACCAGTAATAAGTTCGTCTGAGGTTGATGAATAATGTGTTCAAAGTAGCTATACATACGTGCATGGCATAATTTGGGAACAATACAACAGCAAAAACTAAGCTACAGTTGTCCCAAGTTCGATCAGTTTCTTTCCCGGTGTACTTAGAAGCCACCACGCAGACGGAGCACCAGGTGAAGGGTGCTCTCCTTTTGGATGTTGTAGTCGCTCAGCGTGCGGCCGTCCTCGAGTTGTTTCCCAGCGAAGATGAGACGCTGCTGGTCTGGGGGGATGCCTTCCTTGTCCTGGATCTTGGCCTTCACGTTCTCGATGGTGTCGCTGGCCTCTACCTCGAGGGTAATGGTTTTCCCTGTCAGGGTCTTCACGAAGATTTGCATACCGCCACGGAGACGGAGCACCAGGTGAAGCGTGGATTCCTTTTGGATGTTGTAGTCGCTGAGTGTGCGGCCGTCCTCGAGCTGCTTGCCGGCAAAGATGAGACGCTGCTGGTCTGGGGGGATGCCTTCTTTGTCCTGGATCTTGGCCTTCACGTTCTCGATGGTGTCGCTGGCCTCGACCTCGAGGGTGATGGTCTTTCCGGTAAGCGTCTTGACGAAGATTTGCATACCGCCACGGAGACGGAGCACCAGGTGAAGCGTGGATTCCTTTTGGATATTGTAGTCGCTGAGTGTGCGGCCGTCCTCGAGTTGTTTCCCGGCGAAGATGAGACGCTGCTGGTCTGGGGGGATGCCTTCTTTGTCCTGGATCTTGGCCTTCACGTTCTCGATGGTGTCGCTGGCCTCGACCTCGAGGGTGATGGTCTTTCCGGTAAGCGTCTTGACGAAGATTTGCATACCGCCACGGAGACGGAGCACCAGGTGAAGCGTGGATTCCTTTTGGATGTTGTAGTCGCTGAGTGTGCGGCCATCCTCGAGTTGCTTGCCGGCGAAGATGAGGCGCTGCTGGTCTGGGGGGATTCCTTCCTTGTCCTGGATCTTGGCCTTCACGTTCTCGATAGTGTCGCTGGCCTCCACCTCGAGGGTGATGGTCTTTCCGGTAAGCGTCTTCACGAAGATTTGCATACCACCACGCAGACGGAGCACCAGGTGAAGCGTGGATTCCTTTTGGATGTTGTAGTCGCTCAGCGTGCGGCCGTCCTCGAGTTGTTTCCCGGCGAAGATGAGACGCTGCTGGTCTGGGGGAATGCCTTCCTTGTCTTGGATCTTGGCCTTCACGTTCTCGATGGTGTCGCTGGCCTCGACCTCGAGGGTGATGGTCTTTCCGGTGAGTGTCTTTACGAAGATTTGCATTCTGAAAGCTTTCTCGAAATAGGCTTCGGTTGAAAAATGACGAAGGTAAGTGAACGCTTCGAAAGCGAGAGTAGTCGAGTGAACTCGGACGAGGTTTTCCTTGGCGAAAAGCGTCGGTATGACTTGCGGTTGCTGGGGCGGGCCGGTTTTTATAGTCGTGTGCCTAAAAATAGTAACATATAGCCGCCATTTTGTGTGGGGGCGGCGGAATTTATTCCTTGTTTGGGTATGTTGCTAAAATAAAAATTGCTGGCGCATCGTGACCGTAAATAAGATGGCGGCAAAATTCGGTTATTTAGAACCTCGCGCGCATTTTTTTCTCTTTGGCCGGCAGCCCAGGAATCTATAACCTTTCTGTATAATTATACACGAATCAATTTACATGTATTCACTTTCGTTCACACATACATACACACACCACCAACACAACACAGCATCTGTGGGACCCTGGACTCAGTGGATCAGGTATATACATACAATACACAGTAAACCTGCTGAATGTAGTGCCTAGTCATGGCTTTGCCTAGTCATGGCTTTGGCCAGTGAATAGGCCCACTAATTAGCACATGCCATAAGGCCAGTCCTGAGTCAAAAGAACTCTTTGGGCAGTATTGTGATGTACAAACACCCACACACAATGCCTTACTAGTAACTACTGGACCAACAAGGCAGTTCCTCCTGTCATGTGGGGGAAACTGAATCCAAGGTTGTGCCCAATGTTGTGTTTGGAGGAACTGGCCAATTACCCTTTGTGGAAGGTATGTGTCCTCATTTCCTTAGGCATGACCTATCTCTTCCTGCTGTCTAGACTGTTCTAGATTTTAGAATGTTCTAGATTTTCGGTCTAGAATGTTCCTGATATCAGTTCTATTCTCACCTCTCCAGTACCTGAATGTAAAGCTGAATGATATCAGTGTCCCAGACCCTGACAAGTACCCCCACATGGTATTAAACACACTACACCCATTGCTGAGTGTATCACACACACAACACACATGTGATGTTTTGAAACTGTTTGTGCCCACATGCAGCTGTCTGTCAGGAACTGCTTCATTCGTGGCTCAGTTGTGAGGTATGTGCAGCTGCCTGCTGAAGAGGTGGACACTGTTCTGCTGCAAGATGCCACCAGAAAGGAGGTGGCTCAAGGAAAGCAGCCCCAGAAGTCAGCCAGCTAGCCTAGGGTACCATGTCATAGCCCTGACAAGTACAGCAATGTTGTAATGTCACATCACAGTGCTGCATGGCCAGCATGACTGCTTACTTGTCTACCAGCTTGTGTATATACAATATCAATGTCTGAACATGGTTCCGGCCCAGTTGGTGGGTCACATGTTTCTCATTGCTATGGTTGTAAAGGTAATCACAGCTGCTGCGTGTAGATAGCTGTCTCCTGGGACCTTGATTATGTACACTGTACATTGTTGCATTGTTCTGGACAATGTGAAGTACACAGCTAGCACACATGTGAACTGTAGGGCATTACCATGAAGTCATAATGATGTAATCAGTGAATGGTAATAACTACAAAGCTCCTTTTCCGGTTTGTATGGAGTTCTGGTGAATTTGATAATCACTTCTCTTGCCAGAGGGTGGCACTATGCCTAGGTCGCCTGGTGTATAAGGTGTGAGGTGTGAAGGTGTGCTTCTGGTGAGGGGTGAGGAGGTGAGGAGGTGGAGTAGAGTGGAGAGCAGCCCCTGTCTCTTTGCCAGGTGCTCAGCCTCTGAACTGCTGCCCTGAGTGGAGGGTAGGAAGGAAGAGAGAGGTATAGAGGAAGAAGCTCTATATAGACATAAGGCACTTACATAAGAATACAGTGAAAAGGACCGATAAAGGACACCTTTCTTTACAGGACACTTTGTTCCATCCCATTAGCATGCTTCTAGATTAGCGACACACTTGAGTAAAGGACACTTTTGATGGTGTCCCTTATTCAGAGTTCTCACCTGTAATGCTGTCTGGATGGTGTGTGCCGACTGGGTTAGAATGGCAGTGAGTGATTGGATTTGCCTCCTTGCATCAGACAGCTGTGCTTGCATGCTGGCCAACTCAGCCTCCACATTCTGACTTCGCTCTCTGTACACCTGACACAGTACGTTGTCAGGGTTGAGGAGGGTACGCAGTGGAATCAATGGTGCAGAATGAAGTGTCCATATACAAGTTAGTGGTCCTTAGTTCAGGGGATGCAAGAGGGGATGTTTATGGGGGAAGAAAAGGGTATCCTTGGGGGCTGTATATTATCTTGCTGTCAATGGTGGTAGTGGCAGCTTGTTCCATGGCCTGCTGGGCCTGCCTCTCCAACTTGACACACTGCGTTGCCGTGTACCTCAGATCCTCCAACTCCCTCTCCTGCCCCCTCGCCTTCTCCTGCAGCAGCAGAATCACCTGCAGACCAGTTGGACAGTTGGAGGTGAGGTGTACCAATACAGATTTCCATACCTTCTGGTTGCTGACATTGCTTCGTGTCACCTCCCTGTGGCTTGTCTCCAGGAGTTCAACTCTTCTGCTCATTTCGGTCTCTTTCCTGCGCAGTGCCTCGTTCTCTCTCAGCAGGGCCATCGTCTTCTCGGACATCTTGCTCAGCTGCTGGCCGATGGTCACGTTCTCCCGGATCGTCCGCTTTGTCGTCTCCACCATCTGGAGGTCGGACACCTTGCGGAATTCACCGGCTACCATGTTCACTTTGGACACCATTTCCCTCTTCATTCTGAGTTGGGGAAGACAATTCAAACGTGCAGTGAATCACCAACACCTGGTAGTGTGGCCGAGCGGTCTAAGGCGCTGGTTTAAGGCACCAGTCATTTCGATGGCGTGGGTTCGAATCCCACCACTGCCAGCTTTTTACTTAGTCATTTTTATGTTTGCTGCCAAGTTTTATTAACCGTCCACTCACTTGTCACGATCAAGCACGGCCTTTTTCTCCAGACTGTACACCACGTCCTCCTTTTCCTTCTTCAACCTCTCGATATCGGCCGCCATCTCTCTGGACTCCTCTTCCAGCCTCTCCTTATTCACTCGGAATTCCTCCAGTGCATCCAGCTTCCCCTGTAAAACCTGCAGAACCGCTCCTGAATTGCTAAGTCACCTATTGTGCTTTATCCAACGCACTCCATTCTCTTCCTGTAGCTTGTCCTGGGCCCTGCGAGCGTCTTCTTCTTGCTGGGATATTTGAGCCTCCAGTTGCTCTCTCTCTTCCTCTCTAGCTCTTCGCAGAGTCTCCAACTCTCCCTCAATAGTTGCTGCACTCAAAGCTTGGTCCTTGGTCTGCACAGATGAGAAATAAACATGACCTGTTCTAGTGCAGTGCATGCTAAGGTTCAGTTCTTGCTCACCTTTTTCTTGAGGAACTGGATGACCTGTCCCTGGTCCTCTTCCTGCTGGGCCAGTTTCGACTGCAGCTCTTCGTTGCTGACCTGAAGCCCGGCGCAGCGCTCCTGGTACCGACCCACCCGTTCCTCCAAGTCCTTGATCTGGACCATGTAAAACTGCCGCGAGAGCTCGCTCAGAGGCTCTTCCTCGCCCGCGACCTTGAGGGGAGGAGGTCCATCCTCCTTCTTTTCCTTTCCCTTCCCTCCCTTCTTCTTCCCTTTCCCTTTTTTCGGCATCTCTGCAAAAGTGTGCACGTTGCAGCAGCCCCTCCCACACTATCGCTATGACGACGGGTAAATGGTGCGCGTCTAGATTCCGCGCGGAACGTGCAACTGGAACGAGACATGAAGTGGGTGGTGGGTTCTCTGGTGGCAGTGGCTCTGCTGGTTGTGTGGCTTGCAGGGAGGGAGCCAGGGGCTGGGTGGTTCAGATGGACCTGCACCCTTCTCCTCCCTCTCTTCATCTCTGGCTATGGTCTCAAGAAGAGGTCTCTGGACCAGTCTGGAGCTGCTCTGGCAGTGGTGGTTGGGTTCCTTCTCACCGCAGCCAGTGCCTGTTTCTCTGCCTCGCTCATCGTCTTCTTCCTCACCTCCTCACGCCTCACCAAATGGAAGGCTGCCGAGAAGAGAAAACTGGAAGAAGGGTATAAAGAAGGTTAGGTGCACTGTTCAACCCCCCAAAGGTTGATGCACACCTCTCCTAATTTTAGGTGGTCAGAGGAACTGGGTACAAGTGGTGTGTAATGGGGGCGTGGCTAGTGGGTGTGGCCTCATTTATCTGGGTTTGGTTGGTATGACTGAAGTTCCTCTGAGGTATAATGACGCGGGAAGTCCAGACATCCCTTCTCTCCTATCTCTGGCCATTCTCGCCGCTCTTAGCTGCTGCTGTGGAGACACGTGGGCGTCTGAAGTTGGCTCTGTAATTGGAGGGAGACCCCGTCTAATCACCACCCTGAGGCCGGTTCCCGCGGGGACCAACGGTGGCGTAACAACAGTGGGTGTGGTCTGCAGTGTTGCCGGTGGAGCTGTGATTGGTCTCACTCACTACCTCAGTCTCCTTGTCCTCTGGAGAGAGGGGCTCCAGGAGGGAGGTACCAGAGTGGACCAGTTGGAACTGGTACTAGTCGGAGCAGCCAGTGGGTTCCTGGGCTCTCTAGTTGACTCTCTCCTCGGTGCCACCCTCCAGTTCTCGGGGTGGTCTGAGAAGCTGGGCAGAGTGGTGAGTTCCCCTGGACCCAGCGTGACCCACGTGGCCGGTGCTGATGTACTGGACAACCACACTGTCAACTTCCTCTCCTCTCTCATCACTGCCATCCTTATACCAGCTCTCTGGACCACCGCTCACACTATACAGTGGTAGTACCAATATTTTTGTATGACGATGAAAGCAAGATGGATGTATTTTGCTTATTACCCTCGGCGCGCATGCACAGCGAGGGTACTGTAGTTGGGTTTGTCTGTCTGTGTGTCTGTTACTCTCAATCTCACTTCTCGGGTGTCTGTTCTCCCAGAAACGATACCATCTACCCAATGGGTGACGAGGGTCAGAAAATATGTGGGGTTTTCCCTGAAAATAATCCGTTGCAGAGCTAGAGCATTGTATGCCCATTTTATCGCTGGCGGATAATGCGCACGCGCTTATATTTAGCACGACCGGTCGACCGGGTCTGCTTCCCTTGAAGGCACAAGAAGTCACAACGAATGGCGTGTATCGACTCTCGCGTGCTATCTACTACTGTAGCTAGCCCGTGTCAGCGAGCTACTTCGCCGAGGGTTTGCCTTTAGTGCTTTTCATTTACACTGCCCATTCAAGTAATGGGTGGGGATCTGATGGATAAGCACCCCCTCTCTTGATCGTGAGGTCCCTGGTTCGATCCCGGGTGTGTACGCCTTTTTTACAATGATGTAATAGGAGTGTTGGTATATATGGAACGTTTTTTCATCACCTCTCAAGGCCAGCCCGAGTGGCTAGGTGGTTAGAGTCGTGGGACTGACACCATAGGTGCGGGGTTCGAATCCTCGATCCCGCACTAAAGTGTCAGGTGGTCCAGAGCATTGGCTGGGAACAGCTCTGGTTCCTCCCCTTACCCACAAATCTACCACTGACCCACGTTTCTCAAAGGGCAGCGTACAGTTCGGCATAGCACTGCGTCCGTAGACGTCTTGTCTGGAGAGATGAAGGGCTGGCCGTTTTTTCAACCTTAGTTGTTTTTTTTTGCCACTAAACAATCCACAGGTAATACGAAAATGAATAGAGAGATGAAAGGTTGGCAATTTTTCAACCTTACATATTTTTGGGGCCTCAAACAAAATGGGGCTGGCCATTTTTTCATGCATAACATGCTGTTCTTTTTGATGCATGGTCAAGGACCATCAATTGTGGTGGTTCCAGTGTGCCGAGGGTTTCACTTTAGTGCTTTTCATTGTTGGCATGTTTTCAAGTGTAAATTCAAGGGTTTGCTTTGCATTGGATGGTGGATGAGAATAGTAGTGGTGAAATGAGAAGTTTATTGGTCAGATAAGGTGTGGAACAGTTGTCTTGTGCTGGGGTCTCCCGCGACCTGTGCGGGGGTAAGGTCGTCGCAGTCCTTGATTGAAGGGTCTGCCCCTTTAGAGAGGAGGTAGGTAACCACGTCTACCTGGTCACATGATGATGCTGTGGAGAGAAAAGCTATAATTATACTGCGCTTTAAAGGAACAACCAAAAATTGCACCGTAGCCTCATACAGTGCATTTTTTAGGTGATTAAGAGTTACATTTTTGCACACTACAAACTAAGATACCACAAACTATTTGCTATAGCTTCAGTATTATATACCATAGTGCAATGGTGTCTGTTTATCATCATCCTGTGAGGAGAAAGAGACACACCACTCGGTCTAGCTGCTAGGGTATAGTATATACCTGTGAGTTGATGTCGGCTCCTCTGGTGGCCAGCAACTCCACAATGTTGAGACGGCCTCTGTCACATGCCCAGTGCAACAGAGTCATTCCCTACACACACACACACACAGTCAAAAGAGATGCGATTCACAGAGCTTTTTGCAGAGTATTTTACATGCTGCAAGGGTGGAACAATACAGAAAGGTTTCGAACTGAGTCTTCTAGGACCTCATTGTCTCTGTTGTTGATGTTGTTGGGAGTGAGGTGAGAGCGGAGCCGGTCCTCGCGACCCTCCTTACACCAGTCAAACACCGTCTTCTCCTCCTCTGCCAGCTCCTCCTCCTGGTCTGCCAGTCTGCTCACTGTTGGTCCAACTCCTCCCCCTCCTCCCTCTCCCTCCTCGTCCCCTCCATCCTCTGTCTGCCGAGAGAGTGTACTGTTATAAAGAGAAGAGTTCTGAAGGATGGTGTCACTGACTGGTGAGACGGTCTCCCACTCTGGAGATATCGCAGACACAGTCGCTAGGTACTGTGTCACCGCTTCGTCCTTTGTCATCCTTCCTAGAGAGTGCCACGCCTCCCTGCACAGCCCAAGATTAATTTCGGAAATCCCAATCTTTCAACACACCATTTTGCTCTTCCAGTGAAATCAAAAAATCCGGGTTTGGTTGTAGTGCATTCTCCCTCCTTGGCCTGTGAATAATGACACACTCACGTATGCAGAACATGCTGTAGCCACGGATGCAACAGCCTAGCTAGTCAATGATTCCTCAGAGGTCAAGCCACGTGGTGCAACGACTGACGAGGAAGGTGATTACCTGCTTGAAGTAACCGTAGAGCTGGAGTTTCTGCTCGTTACTGAGCCTCAGACCCGAGGCGTTCCTCATGTATTCTGCAGCTCGCTCGAACCTCTCTCTTTCCGCCATGCCTCCTTCCAGCTAGTCGAGGGGGTTAAGTGGGTGTGCCCCGTTCATATTACGAGCCTTTTTCGCTGAAGAAGCAGCGCGGGTCTTGAGAGAGACGATGCACCGGCTTCAGGGAGTCGCTGTGGTAAGAGTATGACGCATGCACACATGCGTGTGTTTACTCTCTGTTGTCGTGCATCCCGAAACCTCGTCGACCCACGATGGCTGGCGGTGACAACCTCCAACGCCCTCCCATCGCCCTCCCATCTCCCTCCAGCAATTGCTCCAGCAGGCGCAGAAGACGACACTGGTCGCCCAGGGCCTCTGCTGCTTGGTAGTCTTCTTCTACCTTCTCGGTTTCGCACCCAGAGTCGCGGAGAACGTGGCCGTCACACCTGCCTAGTTAGTTATGGTGGGCACCAATTAGAATTCTCCTCACCTTCTCTTTTCCCTAGTATAATGCCTCCTAACGTCAAAGTGTGGACGTTAGTGACTGCCACATTCTTTGAGAGAAGGATTGTCTATGTTAGTTGGCTCACTAGTTTTTCTACCTGTAAAGAGTGTATACCTCACATCAGGTTGTGTTGGATGTACTGGCCCTTATTGGATTCTCTGCAGTTCTCCAGCCTTTCTGGACTGCCAGAGAGTTTGCAGTGAGATGTACATGTTACCCCTGCTCTGTGTGAATCACCCGTCTCTCTCCCCTTCTGTCGTTTCTCGGCAGATATTTTCAGCAATTGTGAGCGTATCGTGTCTCGTGTCCGGAGTGGGTGTGTCAATCCTGCTCTACGCCCTATCACAGTCTGTCTCTTTCTTGTAAGTTTGCAACGGCAAAAGCTCTACCAATTTCCCCTGGCAATATCATTTCTTTCCCCCAGATTTGTCTCCTATCACGGTATGATTGGCCTGGTCTGCGGATACGTGGTGGCAGTCAAGCAATATCATCCTGACAGCGTTCCTTTCCCTCCACCCACTCCCCCAACACTCAGAGTCAAGGTAAGTCAGAGATTACTTCTGCAGTTTTTATTTCCTTCTTTCAACTTTACCTCTCAATCTGTTGTATACTCCAAACTCCCAACTTTACCTCTCATTCTGTTGTATACTCCAAACTCCCAACTTTACCTCTCATTCTGTTGTATACTCCAAACTCCCAACTTTACCTCTCATTCTGTTGTATACTCCAAACTCCCAACTTTACCTCTCATTCTGTTGTATACTCCAAACTCCCAACTTTACCTCTCACTCTCTATCTCCACCTCTCCCTCTCCTCCCTGCAGCATGTCCCACTGACTGTAGCCACTGTCTTCCTCGTCCTCTCCCTGTGTGGAGTAATCTCCTATGCCTCGCTGTGGCTGGTTCTCAACGGGATCTCCAGTTCCTGGGTCTACCTGCGGTTCTTCCAGAGGAACCAGCAGGGCTCGCGTGGGGACATGTCTGAGAGCTTTTCATTTGCCTCTTTCTTCCCCGAACCAATCCAGTGAGCCTCTCTCTCTCTCTCTCTCTCTCTCTCTCTCTCTCTCACACACATCTTTCTAGTACTGGCTTCTTTATTGGTGGTGTGTTTTTCACTGGAAGCACACTTTTACATTTCTTTTCTAGTGGTGGCTTCTTTATTATTTTGTGATGCATGGTGCCATTTGCACCTTAATATTGGTCAAATTTTCTACATTCAATTCTTTGCGAAGTTAATTGTGTATTGTTCATTAACTCAGGCCAGCTCTGGCAAGGCTGGGCGGTTTCATCTATCACATGCTGGTGTCCGTGAAAGTCTGTCCAAAGATTGAGATGACGTATGATGTAGGGGCTCCCTCGCAGATTAACCTCACTCTACCTGGCACTGACCGCGTTGACGCACAGAGACGAAAGTCAGTGGATAAACAGCACGCATTGCAATGGAACTCATTAATGACCCTCTGAATATAGGACACCTCCCTATAGACAAGTTCTGGCCAATACTAGTTTGTTATATTACCTCCTAATAAGGAACAGCTCTGAAATAAAGGACGTTTTCAATGTCCAAAATAAATCCCCGAGGTTATATACACTGTACTGACTTGGTTCTGATGTTGATTTTTTCGCTGTCTGCAGGCAGAGAGCATTGAAGGCACTGGATGAGAGGCTCGGTAAGACTTCTGCGCCGCCCCAGACCTGGCCCTCGATGGATGAAGCTGGCAGCAGTCAGGATGAGCAGGACACAACACCTCCTCTTCCTTCCTCCTCTTCTCCTCACCCCCCTCCTCCTGATAAGGTTGTGGTGGAGAAGATTCCAGTCAGTGGGGTGGGAGGAGGAGGAGGAGAGGGACCATCAACCAGTCACCCATCCACCAAAACTGACTCTTCTACATGAAAACTTCAAAATTTCCTGTCAGTCAAAAAAAGTTGGCCGGTTCGAAAGCGGCGTGCGCATCACGTGTGCGCACGCGTACAAGTTGTGGGTGTGGTCAGTGGAGTTTTCAAAACCCGTGGAGCGATACGGCAAAGAACGAAGAAGAACGATTCACTGCGCAGACACGGCACAACTGACGCGGTCTGGGGTACCCGCTGAAGAATCTTAATTCTTGGGTATTGACTGATCAGTTTTGAAGGAATGGCCAGCTGCGTGTGCGAGATGAACCAAGGCAAGACACTACTCCGTTGCTTCCCACCTTCCGAGAAGATGATACGTGCGGCAGAGGACGGGGGAGGCAGTGAGCGGGACTGCAGAGAAGCCTCCTCGCCGTCCTCCTGCAGCAGCCGGGGCTCCAGCCGGTCCTCGGCCAGTCTGGAGCGAAGAGTGAATCGTGAGGCCGACAAAGACCGCATTCTTGACAAGGTCCGCTGTTGCCTCAAACTTTGTCTTTCCCCCTATCTCGCCCGCAACTAACATCCACTCCTCCGTTTCGTTTGCAGGTGCGGGTTCTTCAGCAGGAGGCAGTGGCAATAAAATCAGAGATATCAGGTGGGAGGGTGGATGCTAACCACGTGAAGTTGGCTCTAGAGATGATGCTACAGGAGCACTCTCTTCTGGGAGACACGGTGTCCACCGCTGCACTTGCTCTTGAGACTTTCAACAGGCGGAGTGGTGGACACGCAGCCAGCACCATCGCCACCTGCCAAGCCTCGCTCAGAGAAGAGGTGTGGAGTCCGTGACCAACATGTACATGTATGCCCTGAGTACTTGCCACATGTTTGACGTGAATTTTTTCGTCCAAACGTTATTCCCCCTAACTGTTTTCTCCTTTCTCACTCCAAACCTTCCCCTTTCCCCCTATATCGCTCCATCTCTACGTCACTCAGAACTTTCGTCTCTTCTTTTCCTTCCCTGCAGCTGAAAGTGCTGGCTGAGCACCTGTCAGCGCTGGAGGAGGTCTTTCGTAGTGGGTGTGGCCTTCTCTGGTCATCTGAACTACGCCCACCCCAAACAGAATCAATTAAAACCAATAACGACAGGGTCTTACCCATTGTGGTGTCCAGTAGCTCTCCAGCAAAGATTGATGAAAACGACAGCTCTCCCCATCTCCCAGACATTTACCTTACTCCGTCTCATCCCGTTTACTCCAGTACCTCACACCAGTCCCCCACGTCGGAGTCAATTTCCTCCATGCCCCACTCCTCCCCTCCATCCTCTCTTCCGAACCTTGACCCCTTTACCCCGGACACAATCTCTACCCCTCCCACTCGTGACCACTCTGGAGTAAACTCCGGGGTACCTGCTACATACTCTGGGGTGCCCACCACTCCGGTCAGTCAACCAACACACAAAAGTCCGCAGACAACGCTGGTGGGCGGGGATTGTGGGTGTGGCTCTTCCTCAACGACTGTTCTACAGTGGCTTATGAGCAGCGATCATCAAACGGCAGAGAGTGAAGAGGAGGAAGAGGAGGGTGTTGATGGAGGTGGGTGGCGGAGAGAGGGGGTGAGAGATGAGTTCTCTCCAGCTGGGTCTGAGAGCGTAGAGACGGGAACTGCAGTTTCAACTCTTTCTCCGCCCACTTCCTGTGAGTGACAGGAGTCCTTAACTGGACGGGGGGGGATATTAGCTCCAACTTTTTCTCTGTCCAGCTCCGTGTGCGGATAGTGGAATAGCTTCGTCGCACTACAGCAGCCATCATCATCCACCACCTTCTAGCAGACTTTCCTCTCCTCTTCCTCTGTCTGTTACAATGTGAGTGGCCACTCAAATCAATCTCCATTGTACTTCCTCACTCACTCCTGCCTTCCTCCGTTCCAGGTCCGACATTGAGGCCATGAAAGCAGAACTGGCGAAACTTAGAGAAGAGATACGAAACACTTCTAATTGGAGCCCCTCACTCTGTCAGGAGTACAGGCTGTACAGCGCACCTTCTTCGACCTCCCTTCCTCCTCCACCAACTTTCTCCATTTCCAACTCGCAACCTGGACGAGCCAGTGCCTCTGCTGGCTTCAAAGAAAGATTTACAGCCTGCACCACTTCGAGTCTGGCTGCTGCTGCTGCGTTTGACTCCACTCCAGCTGTCCCCAGACCGTTCCAGTCACTGTCAAAGTCTCATTCCCGTGTCTCCAGACCCCCACTATCCAGCTCCAGCTCTCTCTCTGGTCACAGACGTCTATTCTCATCTCCCCATGCTCCCCTACACTCAGACCAGCAGAGGACTCTGACCAAGTCACACCCTCACCTGGTGGACCATTCGGTCCAGACAATGCCAGTCACCACTCCAAACACCCATTCCAGTACCAAATCCTGGAACCGGACTGAGCCCGTCTATCATCATCTCCATTCAAGATTGCCATTCACCACTCACCCATCTGACCCTCTCCCTTCTTATTCTCCTCACACCCTCCCTCACAACTTTACTCCACACTTTGTGGTGCAGAGTTCCCACTACCCTCCCTCCTTCTCCTCCTCCCCTCTCTCCCATCTCCCTTCTCATTCCAGCAGTATCGGAGGCCAACACCACACGTACACCACCTCCCACCTTAGTCCATGGCTCTAGGACACATCACTGCAGCCAGATCAGAGGCTCTCAGTCAACCAGAAACTGACTGAAATTTGCATCATTACATCACATCATTGCATATCTCTTTCACTACACAACTTTAACTAAACCTAACCACCGTGAATGATGTAATGAAACCCAATAAGGGTTTTGACCTTGCAATTGCGTAATCTTCCACCTAACTGGCAAAGAACCCTGTTGTAGTGTGTCCTTTGAACTTGCGTCTTTGAAGACTGGTGCGAGTCTCAACAGGTCACATGACCTCACTTACAGGTCACATGACATCACTCTGGAATGGCATCCGAGAGTGATTGTGCAACATTTACTTGAAGACCTATACTTCAAAGCATTACTGAGACTCCAACATGTCATTATTATCACATGTGATATTTCATTCTTTGTGCACAAAAGAATAAGCTCTAAACGACATGAAAAAAATAAAATAAAAACACAAACCGAAATGCAAAGTAAAGAAACGAACTCGAGTTAAAACACACTGTGTCAGTATATAGGAACTAGGGTGGATGGGAGAGAAATAATGACATCATAAAGATTTTGAAAGGAGAAACCTACTTTCTGCTGAGCATGCAGCATCGTTCAAAGCAGTGTTCTGACCACTCTCGTGATAACTGAAGTAAAAGTCACCGCCCTGAGCCAGTTGGGGGTTGAGTCCGAAATCATAGGTATCTCCTGAACTGTGGCTTCTGTGTGAACCGCCAGCTATCTGGGGCGGCGCGAGCGTGAGATGTGTGTGAATGGGCGGGGCCTGGTTGCCGTGGGTGACGTACTCCAAATGGCTTCCTCGTAGTTGGGTACTGAGAGAGTCCATCTCGACGCAGGGTTCGCCAGTGGCGGTATCCATGACGGATTCGAGGCTCTCCATTTCTTCACCGACTTCCATACTCTGGAGGCTAGTGGGTACGTCTACTGAGGTTGCAATGATGAACGGTGTGTGTTGGGGGGAGGTGAACACGGGGGGAGAGAGGGAGGGAGCGTGCTCATAGCTATGGTGGAGAGAACCACCAAAAGCCTGCTGCAGTAGTGGAGTGGTTGAGTGTCCCGGTGTCGAGGGAGCAGAGATGTTACAACCAAGGCTTTCCCTCCCTGCATTGAGGGTGTTGGAATACGTGAACCCTCCACTGAAACTAGAGCTCTGTCGCCTGATTACAGGGTTCTTCCCCTCCTGACAGGCCTTCTTGCTGCCCCACTCTGACTCAGACCCACTGCAACCACTTTCAGAGAAACTCTCGCACGAGAACAGGTCCATAGAATCGCCCTCGTAGCCCAACTCGTAGCTTTTTCTCTTGTTTCGTCGGATGGGGAGCTCTGGTATGAGTGCCTCGTGGTAGCCGGAGTCGAGGATACCGCCTGCCATGCCGGAGACCTGGGGGAGCTGTGTGGTGTCGAAACTGAGAGGTAGGTGGGGGTGGAAGGCCCGCAGCATCTCCTGTCGCCGGTGCTGCTCGTGAAGGAGTGAGGTGTGAGGTGTGAGGGTGTGTGAAGGGTGGGTGTTGGAGCGGGGACGAGGGGCGGGGCTTGCAGACTCCGCCGAGAGGTGAGACCCGTCGTGTGTGTCCGGGTGCTGTGCTAGAGCAGTCTGTGACCGCAGACCGTTCCGGAACGTGGTGTCGTCAGAATAGGAGTAGAAGAGCCCCAGACCCCCTGCACTGGTGACAGAGTTTGGTGAGATGGGAATGCTTTGGGACGAAGACCCTAAATTAGAGCGCCGTGACGATGTTGAGGCATGGGTGGAGCCATAGGCGGAGTCTAGAGGGTCACCAGGCGACGGCTGGACAGGGGAATGAGGCTCTGACTCCAGTGGGCTCTTATTAGGAGTGAACATGGCGGAGAAATCGAGGGAATTTGTGGGAGAAGGTGGAAGCTCTGTTTTACGTGGTCGCTCAAAGTAACTGGCGTCGATTTCGAAAACTGGGCCGCCGCTGATGGGACCCTGCGGACTGGGGGGCGGGGCCGGCGGCATTGCCTGGGTGTGGTCTGTGTCCTCGTGGTAGGAGGAACAGGTGGAGGGAGGGGGAGAGGGGAAAGGAGGAGAGGTGGGGAGGAGGTGGTGGTGGGGTGGAGGGACCGACTCGTGGAGATTAGGTAGAAACACTTCTGCCATTGCCATTGGTCTGTCTGTCCCTGGGGGAATTGAACACATGTCATAAGACTGTGAATGGAGTGGTGGGTATTTCAGAATGTGTTTGGTGTTCCGCTAGCGATGATGTAAGTCAGGGAAACAGCCTTTCCCACTAGAACATGATTGTTCAAGGCTTGTTTCACATGTTACACTATGGGGAAGGAAGATTACACTCTATACACACAGACTGAGGGACAACAGACGAACCGAAGGGAGATACAGCTTTAAGAAAGAGGACAGCATGTTGAGTAAGAGGTGTGGGGAGAGAGTGTGTGTCACTAAGGGAGTGTAGGCCGAGTGTAGGCTGTAAGAAAGATTGCTGTAAAAGGTGTGGGGAGAGAGTGTGTGTCACTAAGGGAGTGTAGGCTGAGTGTAGGCTGTAAGAAAGATTGCTGTAAAAGGTGTGGGGAGAGAGTGTGTGTCACTAAGGGAGTGTAGGCTGAGTGTAGGCTGTAAGAAAGATTGCTGTAAAAGGTGTGGGGAGAGAGTGTGTGTCACTAAGGGAGTGTAGGCTGAGTGTAGGCTGTAAGAAAGATTGCTGTAAAGGTGTGGGGAGAGAGTGTGTGTCACTAAGGGAGTGTAGGCTGAGTGTAGGCTGTAAGAAAGATTGCTGTAAAAGGTGTGGGGAGAGAGTGTGTGTCACTAAGGGAGTGTAGGCTGAATCTGCCACTGAAACACCTGTCAGCAGACCACAACTTAGAGCAGCAGTTCGAACACGATCCCACACCCACCAACTACTTATACTACTCTCACTACAGTGGCCCACTCACTACGTATAATACACCATTTCTCACTGCACGCTCCCCTCCTTTCCACAACCCAGGGACCAGTAATGACCTCAGCCTATGATCTGTACACCAGCTCAGCACCTCTCATCCACTATATTGTACTCCACTGGCCATGAATTCCCACTTCCCTATAGAGTGGTCACAGCTATTGTGCACTGCCCTCTCAGCAGTCAGAAGTAGTACAGGCTGACCAATCAGCAGCTGGGGAGAGGTCACATGACCTGGCAAACTGACCAATCACCAGCTGGGGAGAGGTCACATGACAAGAAACTGACCAATCACCAGCTGGAGAGAGGTCACACTGCCAGGCAAGCTCCACTAATTAGATCACATGACATGCCAAGCTCACTAATTAGATCACAGCTGACCAATCACCTGCCAGAGAGACATCACATGACATAGTAGTGGCTGGGGGTCAAGAGTTACATATCAGGTGGCTGTTAGGAGATGACCTCTTCTCCCTACCCAGATAAGAGAGAGTCACACTTCACTTACTGACACAGCCATTTCCATGGCAACTCCCCCACACTCACTGAAGGGGCACACTTGCAATTACCCAAATAAGGCCAAAGGATTCTGTCCAGGTGAGTTAGGAATGTAGTACAGCAGGTCCCATATACCACACACCAGCGGTCTCTACACTATTATACTGAAGGCCCTATTCCCATGTGCATTAGAATGTAGGGGGACACTGTGAATATTGGGAAATGGTACCTCTGCCCCCCACAGACACTACAGGCACAGTGATGGGCATGAATAACACTCCAGTTCAGTGGAACCCCTTTGAACCAGACTCTGACAAGAGTGAGGGGGAACATGGGGACACCTCTCAGGTAAGGACACCTTTTCTCTCCCCAAGTCAATAAGGACATTTCACTACTTTATTCTGCCCCATTGGTGGGTGTATTAGAGGTTGTTACCCTGGATTACGCAATAGTGCCTACGGACAATGGAGTGTGCAGCAGCAGCGGGTGAGGTTTGCCTTGTTTGAGCACGTCATGTGGGTTAGGGAGGGACAGCTAGAGCAAACAGTTCCAAACGAGTGGATCTCAATAGGTGGAGATGGCTCTAATACTATTGGGAGCAAGTCTCACATTGTAATAGACTATTATACTGGACTTTGTGGTATCTATCAATTGCACTCTCTTTCAGAGGTGGGTCCAAGGTCCAGTGGAAGCTACTAGTGAAAATTCGATATAGTGAAAGGAAAAGTTCTATATATTCATTCCCAGTTTAGACTAGCTGAGGGGGAGGGAGGGAGGGAGGGAGAGAGAGCATATTGCACAACAGAGGTGGCACATGACACCAGAAAGAACAGCTCTAACATTACAACCTCACACATTCTGATACCCAATACTTGTCTCGTTTCACCAGCCCTCCCCTGCTCATCTCACACTCACACACGCAGACACACACTCACTCACCTTCCTCTCTCTCTCTCTCTCTCTCCTCTATTATCCCTAGTTCAACTTTTAAAAGGAACGACTAAACCTGTTCTTACACCAATGCCTAGATCAGCCTATACAAACCAGGCAATGCCAAAGGCACCATATCCAGAAAAAAAACCAGCCAACTAATACACCAGTCTGTCAACCCTCTAATGGCCCATTTCCCTCCAAAGATAGTACAACAGTCATGCACAGCTGATGCAAAATCCATTAAGTATCGATTGCATTCCAGACATATCCCATGATAATTGTGGAAATTAAGGCAATGAAACTGTATCTATTACCTTGTATTTCAGATAGGGGGCCCTGGTACGGCGTGTATAGCTTCGCTCTCAGGGATACGATAGAGTTACACGGCCAGCTGGCTGGCAGTACTCTGGCTGACCCCCCATTACCTCCATGAGTGTGTGTGTGTGTGTGTGTGTGCAAGCTTTGCCTTGCTGACTGCAGGACAAACACACCTCGTTTCATCCACTTCCCGTGCTAGACTTGAATTACTCTCTTTGGCACAGTCTTGGTTTAGAATGGTGTCTCAGTTGCACAAAGAGAAATTAACACCCGCGATTTTACGCTATATAAGCCTTATATTGCATCAGACTCGTTATAAAAATATACATTTGAATGTAATACCATTCATTTAGTGAGTGTAAGACACACGTTTGACCCAGCAATAAAATCCGACACCACGAAGGCACGCAAGTCTAATTGAACACACCACACTATCCATTCCGTACGGCCATCAATGTGAAGGCATGCGTGAAGCTAAAAAGAAGCTCGACACAGCTAATGGATCGGCCACCACAGACCCATCCTCTGCCGTAGTACACATAATGTGTGGAGCCCCAAATGGGCTCTGGTATGTGCAGAGTCATGTGAGACAAGAGGATGTGTAGAAAATTCCAGAACTACCAAGATAACTTGGAAGGACTTAGGAGGCCACCTATCATATTCCACTACTGTCTTTAGCACAATACCTTAGGAGAGAAAGTAAGAGCCCATGTGTAGCAGAAGCTCAATATATAGAGGTATGAGTAAGTATGGCTTTATACGGAGAGCTTCGAGAGGTGGGGAAAGAAGGAAGGAAGGAAGGAGAGGAAGGGGTGAGGTAGGGCACCATTACAGGGAAGAGAAGACTGTTAAAAACTCAGAGTACAGAGTAGAGTGAGTCACACCTGACATCACACACTGAGAGAGGAGAGAGAGGCAACCGGAGAAGCGTCCGTTGTCACTGCCTCGCATACCACGAATGCCCTGCTGCATCAGAATGTACTGTACTGCATCCCATACATGTTCCAGTATAATATACACACGGACTACAGTGGTGGGTCCTATATAGTACACTAGTATTATTGACTAGCTAAATTAATGGAGTGGCAGTCAGCCATTAGCACTTGGACAGGTATGACACATAGGGCATTAGAGAGGAAGTGGACCCACACACTGGCTTGGCACCTTATCCCTCTCTTGCAGAAAGGAGGAGGAGGGGAGGAGGGGAGGGGGTGAAGGGAGAGGGGGGATGAGAAAAGAAAAGAGATTGTAGCTACAAAGACAGAGAGGGAATGAGACCGTGTCTGAGAATGTATTGAGACTAAAGGTGACCTCAGCCAGACACACAGAAGGCTCTGTCCAAACCTCCCACACAGCCTCTCAACTGGAATTAGGGCCTCGTTTGTCATATTCAAGTCAAGGGAGAGAGTGTAGGGGTTGGGGGAAGAAGATGCTGAGTCCCAAGGTGAAAACAAACATTAAGGGGAATGGAGGGGCAAAGGGAGAGAGATGGGGGAAGTAAATCACACACAAGTGACCCTGTCAGAGTGGGTTACACTAGAAACCCCAGACCTCAGCCACAGAGACCACTAATCTCATATATAGCAAGGCCTCAGACATTGTACTTCCTTATTGGTGCACAACGGCGGCCCTGGAAACCGCTGGAAAGTTAACAGCCACTTCAGCTATTAGCACCGCTACACCTCTCCTACCTCAGCCCTCACAGTTTTCAGAGAAACAGCTGCTTTTGGGATCTCTCGCACGCACACACACACACACACACACACACACACACACACACAAAGTCGACCCGCCATCTTCCCGCCAAACCTCCCAACAGGCCAAGAGTCGAACGAACGAAAACTCTCTGTCCTTCACACACATACCTTCGCCTGTCTTTGTCGGGTTGCTGTTAGAGCTGATCACCAACCAGCGGGTGCGCTGAGTCCCTTGGCGTCTTTCTCGAACGTCGGCGGCACACACGAGGACGAAACTGGGCCTCACAGCTGCTCGCGTGCCAGTTAACTCCCTCGGCTGGCAGGATTTCCTCTGAACTGGAGGCGGGAAGGGAGATCAGCTTTCCGCCAGGCCTACTAGCTCATATGACGGCCTGTACAATTGGCCCGAGTCCAAAAGAAGGGACGGCAATTATGCCGGCCGGATAATATCCCATTCACCGGTTACCAAAAGTAATCGGCGCGCGCGCGGGAAATTATTAATGTAATGATATTCATTGTCGATTAAACCGCACGTGACCAGCTGAGCAGCAGTGCAGCTAGGAGGAGGAGCAGAGAGCTAGAGAGAGGGGATCTAAAGAGCGAGAGAGCTGAGATCAGAGATGAGTAAAAAGGCTGCACCTAGCTGGATGGAAGAAGAGAAACGCCCCCTGCTTTCCTCGACGCAGAAGGTTAACGAAGATGTCTACGGAGAGGCCGAGGCGCCAGTCCGTCAGCAGAACTCGCTGGTGTCCTTCGTGACCAGGAACAAGGAGAAGATCCCGGGCTACGGGATGTGGACGATGGTCCGGCGCAGCGGTGTCTACCCGCTATACGTCCTCCTAGCACTACTAGTGGTGTACCTGTTCAACCAGCTGGACCGCTATACCCTGCCCATAGTAACTACGTCCATGGGCCCCGACCTGCGCTACGGGGACAAGACGTGCCAGGTGAACCCTGACGCCAACTCCACCATTCGAGGACACGCCAATTTCAGCTCCAGCCTCTGTACCAGTGACGCATTTCAGTCAGTCAACGCACACACTCCTCAGCTAGACCTCACTCCCTAGTTTTGCAAACCAGACCCTCCTGCAAGGGTTCAGTACACCTTTACTAAAGCGCTTCACCAGACCCTCTTTCCTCGCATATGAGCATCCATGAGTCTCCAGTTTTACCAAATAAGAACGAGCCATTACATCACTGTTTTTACACGGTATAATAGGCTAGAGACATCACTGTTAGCGTCTCGCTTGCAAGATTGCTAACTCCCTTTTCCTTACAGGCACAAGAGCGTGTGCGTCGTCAACTCCACACTTACGGACGACTTCTACAACACCACTGCCTGCAGATGGTGGTGGAGTGGCACAGGTCTCGTGTACCAGATCCTCGCCGGGCCGGTGTTCAACAACCTATACCCACTGGCCGGAGTCTTCACCGGGTTTATCGCAGATTTCGGCAACCGTAAAGTGTTCCTGGTCATCAGTCTGGTTTTCTGGAGTCTCGCAACCGGTTTGACGGGTTTTGCGGAGAAATTCTGGCACCTCGTTGTTCTGAGAGCTCTTCTGGCTATTGGGTGAGGAAGAGGAGGGGGAGGAGGGGGAGAGGGAAGAGAGGAAGGGGGGAGAGAGGGAGGAGGGGGAGTACAGTTGAACTCCTCTAATCATGACACTAATGGGTCGAAGTAGGATGTCCGTATTAGTGAGGTGTCCTTATTTCAGGGGTTAAATTGAGGTATCCTTATTAGAGGGGTGTCCTCAATTCAGGGGTGTCTTTGTTATAAAAATTGTGAAAGTGAATGTATTTTTTTAACTGTCCACAGAGCCGCTGGTTGTAGTCCCTTTGCACTTAGCATTCTGGGAGACTATTTCCCAAAGGTTTGTATTGCACCTCACACACTGTACATATGTCATATTGACCACTGATTACAGGAGCTGAGGGGTTCCGCACTGGGTATATACTACTTTGGTATATACATTGGGTACTCCCTCGCGTTTTCCATCGGAAACGGAATAGTTGAGGTTCTCAACTGGAGATGGGTCTTCTTCATCAGTGGGTTGGCCGGAATTGCCGTCGCCCCTATCGTTCTCTTCACCGTTAAGGAACCGCAGCGAACGGTCGCCAAGGGAACGCCGGAGACGACCGCTCGGGAGGAGAAGCTCTCGTTCCGCCAGCGATTCTTTCTTCTAGCGGTGACTTTTCTCATGCCTGGGATGTTTGTCCTTTGTATTGCCGGCGGTATCAGAAATGCTGGCGGGTACGTCTGGGCCTACAACACTGAGATATTCTTCGAGAATTTCTACACGAAAGACACGATCAATCGGTTCATGTCGTGGATTCCGTTGGTGGGCGGGTCCCTGGGGGCAGTGGTGGGCGGAGTCATCTCAGACCTGCTGGTGAAGGGGCGTGGCACTATGGCGAGGATATGGGTCATCGTTGTTAGTCAGGTAATTATGGGAGGGGAAAATGATGTCGTTACTCAGGTAATTAGGAGGAAGTGGGGAGGGGAAATGATGTTGTTACTCCGGTAATTAGGAGGAAGTGGGGAGGGGTAAATGATGTTGTTACTCCGGTAATTAGGACGAAGTGGGGAGGGGGGAAATGATTTATATAGGAGGAAGTGGGGAGGGGGTAAAATAGTCAAAGAAGGAAGTGGGGAAGAGGGATGTGATCATATTTCACTAGAGTCATGTCTGACAGCCAGTGGGGTGTGATGAAGCTAGGAAGCTCTGTTTCTTCTCCCTGTGTAGATTGCTGCAGCTCCGTTTGCAGCGGGAGCCCTCTTCCTGCCCTACCCCTGGTGCTTCCTCTCCCTCATCCCCTCCAACATCATCGGTGAGATGTGGATCGGCGTTGCCTCGGCAATCATCGTGGATCTAGCTCCAGCCAAGATCAGGACAGCCTCTCTCGCTCTCTACTTCTTCATCATCACGGTCATCGGAGGGAACTTTAACCTGTTGGTGGAGCCAATCAAACAGGGGTTCTCCCACCATTTTGGGCCCATCACGAGCCTCCGTCTGGCGCTACTGTTCACCTTTCCAGCACTCTATGTGATAGGAGCAGCCCTGTTCCTACTCTCCTATATGTTGATGCAGATAGACCTCAAGTTGAAGCCTAACGCCGAGACGCATGTTCTGGAGAGCCTGCAATCCTCAAGTAGGAGAAAGAGAGAAGAGCCGCCCGACCTCGAGAGAGAGACGTAGGGTGGTGGGCTCTTAATAGAACCATTTGATTTTACTGTGTGCCTGTATTTAGAACTATGACAACAGGTTTTTATGAACTCATAATAAACTGTTTGTATATATTATACTACTGTGTGTAACTCCGACTATACTGACAAATAATATTAAGTTTGAAAGAGACAGTTACAGTTAATAAGGCCAAAAATAATGTTATATATAAATACTCGCACATTATGATACAATACAAAACAGACAATGCGAGAAACGAAACAGTAAGTCTTCTGACAGTGAAAACTATGATAAAACCTTATGAGCTACAAGCAATCCAATTAAGTGAAAGCTGCAGAGAAATATTGAAATCTGAGCCTTCCCACACACACACACACGTGACGAACAACTCCAGCCAGTTATATACTGATGCTATCGTTAGAGGGACAGACCATGACAACGGTTGCTAGGTAGAGAGTAGGTATACAACAGTTTATGCAGAATGATTTGGTAACCATAGGCAATGGTAATTATATGGCAGTCCAGTCAGCACTGAAGTCAAATCCTCTAAATAGTTTCTGAAACAGACAAAATTTGATTGGTTAAATTTTAAGTGACATCATTATGACATCATCGTACCTGCTCATGTGCTCTGAGTGGTCGATTGTTCTTTGGAGGAGAGAGAATTGGCTGCTCTCTAGTGAACTCTTCGTCAAAGTTGCTAATGTCTAGTCTGGAACGCTGGAGAGGAAGAGAAGGGGGAGAGAGAGGAAATAAGGTATGGGAAATTGATGGAGGAAATTGACGTGGGAAATTGACGGGGGAAATTGACGGGGGAAATTGACGGGGGAAATTGACGGGGCAGGAGAGGAAGAGGTAGAGAGAGGAGAAGCGAGTTAGAACTCACCAGAACGGGTCTGAAAGGAGGAGTGACTTCTTTCCTGGCCAGCTTCTCCCAGTCTGTCCTCTGGAGGAGGACGAGACGAGAGGAGAGGTAAGGGAAGAGGTGATAAAAAGAAAGAGAAGGCTTACTCTGAAGAAAGGCTGTCTCTTTATGTCGTATGCGTCCCTCTCACCTCCCCCCAGTCTCTTCTCTGGATTCCGCCTCATCAACTGGACAAGATAAAAACATGTTACCATCCCTCTCTCATATCCTTTGGCTCTCTCCTTACATGTATTGAAAATATATGTGGTTAAACTTACACTAGAAGTCTATTGATTTGGCACCGTTTGTATATATGCCACCTTCAATTCCTCATGTACACACATGTCTCCTGTAATTAACGATGAGATATGTACCTTCCTCATGATGGAGATGGCCTCCGAGGAGAGGAAGCGAGGGTATCGCACGTCGTCGTTGACGATGGAGTCAAACACCTCCTCCTCGTCGTCCCCGGGAAACGGACTCTCCCCCACTAACATCTCGTAGATGAGGACCCCGAGACCCCACCAGTCCACGGCTCTGGTGTATGATACATCTGTCAACACCTGCAGGAGAGAACAAATCATAAATCTAACAAATTTTACGAAATCGCACAAGTAGTTAGTATTGGGTTACACAACTGCCAGTTGTGCTGAAGAGGCAGCGATACATTTGTTCACACACACACACACTGACATTACGAAATCGCACAAGTCACACACACTGAAAATGGCAACCATAATCAAAGGGAAACAAGCCAGGCAGAATTCTGAGACAGTTCGTCCCGTCATAATCACACAAACTACAGCTTGTACAAAATACTAGTGTCATGATGTTGCAGGGGAGGGAAGCGGAGAGAGAGAGAGAGAGAGAGAGAGAGGAGGATCCCTCACCTCAGGTGCCAGGAACTCTGGAGTGCCACAAAACGTGGCCGTCCGACAGCCATACCACATGTCCTCCTTGCACAGTCCGAAGTCTGCAATCTTTACGAATCCGTCTCTGTCCAGGAGAAGGTTGTCCAGCTTCAAATCCCTGCGTGGGGCGAGGAATAGGAGGGCTTCAGTATGCGCAATAACTAAGGTTACTAGGACAACTCAGCAGGTAGGGGTAAGGGTTCAAATCTACATCAAAGCTTGAAACAGCTGTGCTATGGCACAGTACACTCTCACTTAGCAGTGTGAGCTGTTTTCTGTTTTCAAATGTACCTGTAGACAATGCCGTTCATGTGGAGGTACTCCAAACCAAGAACAACGCAGGCAGTGTAGAAACAGGCTCTGGGCTCCTTGAAGACGTCTTGGTGTATGTGCATCATCAGGTCTCCTCCACACGCATACTCCATCACGAAGCACACGTGACCCTGCGTGGTGTGTGGGGCGGGGGAGAGAGGGAAGAGTAGGGGGTGAGTTAGTGCACGTAATATACCTCTGAATATGGGACACCTCTAAACCTTCGATCCCTTTTTCACTTTATTTCTTCACCCACACCCACACACACACACACACACACACCTCAGTCTGGAAGCAGGAGTGGAGATTCACGAGGAAAGGGTGGCGTTCGGAGTTGGCCGTTGTGAATATCCTCTTCTCTGACATGAGACTGTCCACCTCTTCCCTTGAAATGATGTCGGCCTTCTTCAACACCTGTGAGGCACACACACACACACACACACACACACCATGACATGTTTAGTTTGACATTAGTGCCACCATACACGGAGAAACTTTACTGTGTTCTTGAGAGTACAGAACCAAGTATAGCTGTAGGTACGATGAGGTCCAAGGGATGCTATAGACACTGCTTCTATTATCATGGAACGTGTTGGAAAGGACTATGCTGCATTGCCCCCATCATACCCATACATTGAAGGCACATGAGACTCTTGTCTCACACACATTTTCCATGTACATATGTATGTATGTATGTGTGTGTGTGTGTGTGTGTGTGCGTGTGTATCCTTTGGTCTCTTCTTTCTTTCTCTATCTTCCAGTGTGGTGTGCGTAGGGAACTTGTGTGGTTGGAAATTATTTGCAACCATTTCACACGTGGGCAGCCACCTGAGAAAGTTTTTTTCCAGGAAATGTTGCACATGGGCAGCAGCAGGGGCCATATGCTCAGAGGGAAATGACACCAGTGAAAGCTTTTGTTTGTTCTTGCTTACTATGGAATCAACCTCAATTTCTTCACTAAATCTCCTACACACACACTCTTTCTCTCCTCTCTCTCTCTCCTCTATCTCTCTCTCTCTCTCTCCGCTCTCTCTCTCCCTCTCCTCCATCTCTCTCCAAACCTTGATAGCCACAAGCTCTTTCTTGGTGAGGTCTTCTGCCAGCAGAACTTTCCCAAAGTGCCCTCGACCGAGAACTGCCATATACTTGTAGTCTTTCAGCCCTCTCAGGTGGGGGACCACACTACAACATAGAGAGAGAGAGAGAGAGAGAGAGAGAGAACCGTATCGTGCAGCTCTGAGGTATCAAATTACAAACACTACTAGATTGGTATTCAGGCACCATGACAGAGCTACCATGCAAGTAAAAAGTGAAAATGCCTCCACGCATCTGTTACCCGTCACACAGTAAGGCCTCTTCCGCTACAAACACCCATTCCTTTGCTCTTACTCCTAGCATGCACATCAGGCATCTCTCCCCCCCTCTCTCTTCTCTCTCTCTCTCTCCCCAGTAAACCCACCTGGCAGGGGTGGTTTCGGGGAAAATTCGCCCTCCTCCTCCTCCCCCTCCTCCGTGATGAGACACTCTACCAACTGGTTGATGAGAGCCGTGCGAAGTGGAGGACGAGGAGGGAGGGTGGGGTACAGGGGTGGAGTAGGTCGGGGTACTGTTTCCTCCGGAGCCTCGGACCGGGGGAGGGACGCTGGGTAGCCGCATTGGGAGTTCAGGGGGTGTGGTCGGACTGCCTCGGTAGTCCTGTAGGAAGAGAATAGAGATTGGTTTTACACATCACCACACTACAACATCTCTTGTTCATGTCACAAACATAATGTCGCTTGCTCAGTAAGAACTTCTCCATAAACTACATTCGCATGTTTCTTGTTCAGTTCACAAAAACCTAAGTCGTTAGCTGTTCAGCCTCTAAATATGGATCTATGTACGAGGCATACTAGGGATTGAATTTATGGTGGAAAACATCATTAGACAGATTCAGAGGCAAGACTACACCCCTACCCTCCGAGACCACACCCCCACGAGACCACACCCACCTCTCTCCTCTCGGAGCCTCTTTCCCCGTGTCTGGGACTGTGGACGGAGGAAGAGGAAGAAGTGGGCGGGTCCACCTCCCCGATGTAGGTGGATGACTGGAATGCTGCTGGAGGAGGGAGTATCGGCTCTTCCGGAAGCTCCTCCTCCTCGTTAAGAGGCCCGTCGAGAGGAGGAAGGACGCCATTGAGGAGGGACGAGTGACTGCTTCGCTGGCTCCGGGCTCCGCCCCCTTCTGACGGAGGAAACTGACGTTCAAAATCTGGACAAACATGAGACGCACACATACACAACATATATAGGGAGAGGGCTTGTCTTGAAATTCGACTGTACAATCTCTGGCCATCAAACTTACATCAATAAAGATGGAATGGTACTGGCATGTTGAGTTAATGATGTATCGTTCAAGAAAAGGGGCGTGTGTCTGTGGAGTCTGTTATGTAACAGAAAACGTTCCAGGGGAGGGTATTTGGTTTACATATCATCAAATGTTGTGGAAGGGGATCAGTCGTAGACATTACATTCGCATTTTCACCAAATTTCAAACATTAAGTTTTTCGTTACTTAATTATACAGTATAGAGGAGGACTGAGGGAGGAGAGGGTGTGGTCACCTTGAGCCATGCCGGTGACGACGTGGGGCGGAGTCAGGGGGGATTTCGGAGTGCTCTCGCCCGAAGCTGTGAGGGGAGAGAGAGGCGGGGAGCCGTCGGGACCTGCCGCCAGCGAGATCTTGCTCTTACCCCGCTCCTCCTTCCCCTCCGAGATATTGGGGGACGACCCTCCCTCAACGACCACTCGGTCGGCCCTGGCAACCAGTCGGGCCCACGTCACTATGTCCGTGTTCAGCTCAATGGCTCGTGGAAACTTTCCATCTGGAAGAGAACATAAATAGGGAGCTTAGTTACATATGTAGTTTTTGTTTTTTAAGAAACTGACTTTTCTTGAAGAGGCGTCTGCCCCTCTTGAGGTTTGGTTTCCTCGGCTCAGTTCTGGGGATCTCGTATATTACCTGGAGAACATTGATGACATCACACACCAGATCACATGATCCTCACATGACCAGAGCGTGAAAGCACATGACCACAGAGTAATGACATTACACACACCAGATCACGTGATCCTCACATGACCAGAGTGTGAGTCACGTGACCCGGAGGCGTACCTCGGCCAGCAGTATTCCCTGTGGTTCCAGAGGCAGGCAGTGAGTGGTGGAAGACGAGGTGTCGAAGTAGTCCTCTAGCTTGAGGTAGACGAGGCCGCAGAGGCCCTGGTGGGAGGGGGCGTCGGCATCTCTGGAGTAGATCAGGATCTCCAGTTCCCGGTTCTGCAACCAGACACACACACGACACGTAGTGGCCATTGCGAAACACAGGGATGTACAATGCGGAATTTTGTATGTGAAAAACAACAGCAGGGATCAGGGATAAGGGAGAGGTCACCTGGTGTAGTTCAATCTTGATCTGCTGTTCCCAGGCTCGGTTGTTAGGAGTACTCCATCGAGTCTGCTCCACCTCCCTGTTGTCAATGGATACCACCGCACACACCTCCAGGTCTGTGGAGGAGAGGAACGGGTAGAATATAGACACCAAATCTTTCTGAAATGTACAGTGGAACCTCCGAGATAGGGACAACCTCTCTACGAAGGACGCTTGTTTCAACCCCATGCTTGTATTATTTGACCTCCGAGATACAGGGACGACCTCCTCCATACAAGGGAAAGAATTGTTTGCCCAATAGCGTCCCCTGTTCAGAGGTTCCACTCTACTTGCAATATAAGAGTGAAGGCATTGTGCTAGTGTTCCGAGTGTGATGCAGAGAGAGGTATATATACTGTAGGTGACTGACTAGTTGGGTCGTCGGCCACGTGCTCCAGACTCCGCTGTTTCTGGAGACCTGACTTGTTCTTGGTGTGTTTGCTGCCGCCTCTGCGAGGAGGACGGTAGGTGGACCCCGGGCTGGCGTACGAGTTGGACAGAGGTTCCTCCTGTGACTCTTTCTCCCTCTCACGCTCCCTTTCTCTCTCTCTTTCTCGGTGAGAGGGGGCAGGCAGAGTCAGGTAGTTCCTAGCACTGGACAGAATGTGGCCTGGTGGGAGAGAGAGAGAGAGAGGGAGGCTGATGATAATGCTGCAACCTTTGAGATTAGCCGTTTAAGAGCGTCAGTGAGAGTGGTTCATTCTCCGTCTGTATTTGTGAAAGTTTTTTCTGCGAAAATTGTTCATTTCCTACTGTACGATGAAAGTTTTCAGCCTCTGAAGTGTCCAGCTCTCAAAACACACGGACAACTGGTACATACACACACACAGAGTATATACTATACGTATGTATAATTATATGTACAACGGAGAGGAAGTGTAGAGGCAATGTTGATAAACAGAGGCACAAGTCGGGTTGGCTCCCAGTCTCCTAGCTGCTGCTGGAACCAACAGATACAGAACCATTGGAGTGCCAACGCATATGTAGTTTTAAAAAGAGCCGCTATGCGTGGGACCTGGCCCTACAACACTGTTCTCTCTACTGTTCCTACTTATTAGCTACCAGGGCAGCTCGGCAGGCAGGGCTCAAGCCTACTATGCAATAATTGAAGGAAGCCTCAAAGACCGAGTGCTATGGTACAGGAACTGGTCAAGTAAGGCTGTGGTACCTGCTGAGTATGTGCGTGGGGGACTCGAATCAGGGCCACTCAGTGCCATGAGATAGTTGTAGTCCAGAAGACCTTCCACTCCGAGCAACTTCAGGTAGAGCGTGCCTGGGGGAGAGGAGAGAGAGGTAAAAGCCATGTCAACAGAGCTATGTACTTCTCCGGCTCACATATACAACTGCTGGCGGTATACACCTATCTGGACTGAAGGAAATGCTCGGAAAACTGCAAGTTAAGCCTATGGTAGTAGCCCCAAATCTTTGTGTCTAGCAGTAGAGTGTATGTTCTATGCTCATCCTTCCTTCCATTCTCCCTCTCCCTTCCTCTCTCTCTCTCTCTCTCTCTCTCTCAAGTTGCGACTGACCGGTGAGCTGTGCAGGTTTTGGGAGAATAGGGGGCGTGTCTCCGTTCTGGTCTTGCCCGACGCCCTCCGCGAGACTAGGGAACTCCTCCAGTCTGTTGTCCAGTGAGATCCTCAGCAGTCGCAGCTTCTGCACCGACTGCTTCTCGCTCTTCTGTGCCTGTAGAATCACAGACGACACACCAGGTTGGAGCAGGAACCTCAGCATTTCAAATGACATTTGTTTTGTCTTCGTTTGAATGCACAGTTTCGGTTTACGAGCAAACAACCCTCTCCTTTTGTGGCGGAGTTAATTCACAGCTACATTCCCTCCCTCCCTCCCTCCCTCCCTCTCTTCTAGCTGGCTGGTTCTTCATTTAAGACTGAGTGATGGAATTTGCCGGTCAGCATTTTTCATAGCCAACAACATATTTCGTGACTCACAACTTAAATGAAGTAACAAGGCATCTACATAGCTCACCACTTCCAAGTGTTTCTTGTCGGGTTTCTTGTCCGACTGTGCCTTTATGATGCTCCGTGCTCCCTGCAGGAGCCGCGTCTCCACGTCGACACGATACCTCAGCAGAGCAATCCTCCCCTCCGGCGTGGTGGCCAGCGGTTTCTTCTCGTCCGCCTCGCCCGCACACATCTGAAGATTGTCGCTGCGGAGCTTCAAAATCCTCATCTTTAACACTTCGACTTTCTGTCGCGAGTCGGCCAACATTTGCTGAGCCTTGCCCAGCAGAGTACGGTCCTGTTTCGTTTTGGCCTTGGTGATGGTGCGTATCATGCTCTCTGCGCCCTCCTTTACCCTCTGCTCCACGGCCAGCTGCTTCTCCATCATCTCTAGAGTGTGCACATGAGACTTCCTGTGGACGGGAGGGGAGCCTGGGAGGTGCTCCTGGATCACTGGCTCTGGGGGAAAAGAGGGGGGGCAGAGCAAAAATTAGTGAAAATGTAGAGGAGCAAAGAAAAATTACTGGGAAATTGAGGGGAGCAGGAAAAAAAGAGAGTGGGGGAGAAAAAGAGTGAGAGGAGCAAATAAAAAAGGGAGTAGCTCAAAAAAAGAATGTAAGGGGAGCAAAGAATGGGAGATAGAGCAGAAAAAATATGAACGCCTCGCCCCTCACCCTCTTGGTCATCAGGGACCAGTGCCAGGAGCTGGTTCAGCTCAAGGTGAAGATCCTCCAACTTCTCGTTGCATTTCTTCAAGATGGACGCCACGTAGCTGCGTGAGCGTCGGTCGACAGAGGCCCTCTGCAATTTCTCCGCTCCCTCCTTGATTTTCAGCTCCTTCCTTATCTCTAGACGCAGAGTCTCTTTCAGGGTCTCCAGATCAACTGTGTTGTCAGCCATATCTCGAGGTGAGAGAAGAGAGAGAGGAGAGGGGAAGAGAAAGGGGCTGGCTGAGACAGCTGGGCTACTGAGTGAGGAGGTGGAGGGAGGGAGAGTGAAAATATGGCAGTCTTGAATTTACTGTGGGCTGCTTCTGTAAGAGAGAGAGGACAGAGGACAGAGAGGGAGAGAGGGAGAGAGAGAGGGAGAGAGAGGGAGAGAGAGAGGAGAGAGAGAGGAAGAGAGAGAAGACGGGTCAGGAAGGAAGGAAGGAGGAAAAGGTCAGGGGTCAGGGAAGACATCTAATGAATAACATGTAAAGTACCGAATTACTTGAAAGACAAGGACTTCCCCAAGCTAACTGAACACATTCAAACATGAGCGAGAGAGCGAGAGAGAGAGAAGAGGGGATCACGAAGTAATGAGTGGAGAAAAAGGAATGTAGGAATTCATTAGAAACACAGTTCCCAAACCACAGGTGCTCCTCGTGAACATTCCACGAACACTTGCTTCCAAATATGGTCACCCATACTCTGGACATTTCAACTGTCAGTTCGGGTTGCCACAGCAACCAGAGTTGGACTGTTTACCAGCAAATGGGGACTATCATAGAGTTCCGGAGACTGTCAGTGACAGGAGCAGAATGGGCCAATTAGGTGTTGAGTTTCAATGAGATCATTAGCATGGTATTCACTGGGCCAGCTGTATATGACATAATCTCCACTGAAGGTGCATCCAACACTTGGTTTGTTTACAGAATTAGAACTATACTGGCGGTTCATTTTGGGTATGTGAGTGTCCGACCTCTGCTCCGTGTGTGGTATATACACACCTCAGGCCCACACAGTGGGTTGACTAAGGTTGCCTCTAGTGAGGAGTAGCCACACCCTCTCATTAAAAAACAGGAGAGGATTCTGTCTAGTATTGTAACTATTGTTCCCTAATGCCATGAATAGCACTGTTTGGCTATTACGTATCCCTGCAGAGGCTAATGTGAACATGCATTTGAGAGTTTGAAATTACGTCATTCAACATTACACAGGAACAAGCCTACAATTACTGCTAGGCAGACCAGAACCTCTCTCTCTCTCTCTCTCGTGTTTCTCCTCCCCCCGGAGTAACCTCACATGACGATTAGAGTGCAGTGAATTAGTTTTAGATTGAGGGGAGAGGGAGGGAGAGGGAGGGGAGGGGAGAGGGAGAGGGAGGAGAATAAAGCAGTGTTTCAGCACACATTTGGTCGACAATCGAGAAAGCTTGAGTCAGCAGACACAAACAGTCGGGTCCCATCTGGAGACGTAATATTGTGGCTCAGAGGGTCCCTAGGGAGCTGTGAATGATATCACATTTCAACTGCCCTCTGTCGTAAGTGTGGCCTCCGTGAGACGGAGGAAACTGGACAGGAAATGCCAGCTACAGCCCCAACTCACTGGGAAACTTGAGAGAGGAGTTGTCTTTGGGATTGGAGGACAGACTCTGCCACAGAGGTGGCGGCATTTCTCTCTCTATCTCTTCCCCCTGACTCCTGATGGTAGGTGTCATTCCTGGTGCATACACCCTGGAAGACGGCCCTAGTCACTTCCATGGTAACCATTACTGACCTCACACCACCAGAGTATGTAGACACCGACCACTCCCAATGAGATCACTATACACGAAACACCCCTCTCACCCTCTCCCCTTCTCCAACTGTCGCTCTTTCTCTCCTCCCTCTCCTCTTCTTTCCGTAACCCTCAGGCCAGCTGTTGAACCTATCCCCCACCCCTATACATGGGCCATAGAGCTCAACTACACACCAGATGTATATATAAGACCTCAACTGCACCTACACTTCTGCTCAATAGAAAGAGAAATCTAGTGCCCCCCACAACTACTCACTAGACCCACTAACACATATACATCACCTCCTATTGCATGCACACAAGCTCCCTCTAACGTACAGATGGGGCATAATGAGACGAGCTAGTATGTGCTCTGTGGGAAATGTACCATTGGAGTGGCTGCCAAGATTGACAATAGCCAGTGAAGTACACCGATTGGGCCACTCGCCAGGATTTCTATTTGCTCCTTAGCTTCTCGTGCTGTGAGGGATTGGATTGAGCTGGGTTTAGGTCCATCTCTTGGCGACTTCTGATGGTGTCTGGGATAATGATATTCACGGCCTCAATGGGCCCCAGATGATGTACAGTACTAGTTTCTCTCACTGGCTACAACACGCCCAATTGCACCTTCTTTGAATTCATGACTGTACATGAACAGTACCTACCCAGTTAGGAATGGACCATGAATAAGGAAAGTTGGGAGAGAGGGAAGGAGAGAGAGAGAGAGAGAGAGTGACAGACAGAATACAGTGCAACATCTTCTTAAGGGGACACCCTAGGAGAACCTAAAGTCATAGGTGGCCTTGATTCAGTGCCATTTACAAAGATGTGTCCTCTATTAGGGAGTCCATTTTCGGAGGTTTCATTGTTCATGAGAGAGGGGGGGGGGTTGAGTTTTGTAACATCAGAGGGTGCACACATGTCCAGAACAGGTTCTTGGCAAGCTCTAAGACCAATATATGCCTCTTAAGGCATTCAGCACTAGACCCCTTCCTGACTGTGTGAGCAAGCCAGCCGCCACACTGTGACCACTTGGACATGGGGGAGTTGGGGGGAGAGGGGAGAAGGAGGTTTTGGAGCCTGGGAATTGTGGTACTGAGGGACCACCAAAACCACACCTACACATATAGTTACAACCACATATCCTACCTCCCCCCCTCCCTCTAGGCTCCTCTGCTTCCTTCCCACCAACAACACAAACACACTAGAGATGGACAGAGAGACACCTCCAGGGCTAAGGGAAAGAGCTGAGGGGAAAGGTTCAGTCCGTGAGGTCAGGGGTCTCAGCCAAACTGACACATGTTCAGGCATTACTGGCCAGTCTACACACGGCCCAACTCCACAGGCTTTTCCAGAGAGGTGCTACAATCACAGAGGAGGGAGAGGGGAGAGGATGCACACTTCAAAGACAGCAGTCTTGCTAGGGGGTAACCATGGAAGCAAAAAAACAAACTACAGGCCAAGGAAGGTGGACACAACAACAAAATAATGACAGGATATCCTCCAATGTATATACATTGGCACAGCAGGGAGGAGAAGACCTGGAACCGGAATGGGACCGAGACCGGAATGGAACGGAGTCCCTGTCTCCCTATCCTGGAGACCAGCACAGCTTCAGGCATCAGAATGCGGAGCACTAATCACGGCAATCACTGAGTCGCGTTCCAAAAAAGAATGAGTATATGACAACAAAGCCTCACTCCATTAGGACGCACGGCACACATACACACTATACCCCAGAAACGGACTATAGTGGCAGTAGACCGGTAGTAAGAGATTAGGCCACACGCAACGGACACTAGAGCAGTGTGTGTAACAACCACTCCTCCCACGGTTACGTACGTACTGTAGTACACTGCATTCGGTCTCCGCAGCCTCGAGAGAGAGAGAGAGAGAGAGAGAGAGAGAGAGAGAGAGAGGCTAACAGGTAATTGCGGGATGCCACGCAACACCATTCCATAGTCAAAGCTGCTAAGAGTTCTGATTAACGATGTAAGCACTGAATAAGGAACGGAAGAGTTTAGTCTCGTCAATTCTCTCTTTCTCTTTCCCCTACCCCTCTCTCCCTCTACCTCCTTCGCTGTCCGTGTGTGTGAATGGAGGGCCGTGTAGCTAATGTGGAGGTAGACAGACAGGGACTGAAGGATGCTATGAATGAAATAGGCAGTCTGCGGTGCAATATATAGTCAACTCTCCGCATTCTGCTGTTGTTAGGAAGTGCAGCAGACCCGGGATGGACAGGTGACAACAAGAGAGTGGTATAATCAGTCGTAATCAACTTTATTCTACCCCAATTTTCACCATTTTTGTCTGGACACTCCTCGGACTCAGACAAGGAGACAAAGGATAAGAGAAACACCGCGGTAAGCCTGACCAGGGCCTTCAAGAGCCGCTGGAACACAAAGGCACACCACAGCGCTCTTTCTTCTCCCACGTAGCCACTTGGGCCGAGAGAGTAGCATACGCTCTATAGAGTACACACACGCACACGCACGCATGCCAGCTCACCAGCGAGTTGACTGTACGTCGAACTTCCAGGACGAGAGAGCTGGTGAGGGAGGGAGGGTGGTCAAAAGACACAGCAGGACTAATTTTCTTCCCAGCGGGCGCGCGAGACTCTCCAGTCGTGGGACGGGGATGGTAGGGTCGCGAGGTGGAGCCTGCTGCTGACTATGTACACAGACGCCAACGGCGGCGCACCCGGAGAAGGTAAAAAAAAACACTTCTGACCGGAGGAGCGATGAGAGACTGGCGGACAGCAGCTCGGCGAGTGTGCTAATTACCTCCGTGGGCGCTTATTCTGGAAGCGCACGTCGACCGTTTTCCGTAACCAGCGCGCGTTTTGTTCCATTGATGTGGTGGGGTTAGGAAGGATAATTGGTTGGATAAATGCTGATAAACAACGAGAGGGAATTGTCAACAAAAACCTAAAAGGTGGTTACTGCTAGTTCCGAGAGTCATATAGCGCCGCCCTTTGACTTGATGTACTCTTGGACGACGACCCAGGACTCCGCGTCTCCCGCTACTTCCTTCACCACGGCGCAGCTGCACTTGACGACCTTCCGCGGCTTCCCCTCTCGGTCAATCTTGCACAGCCCGACCCACTCCCCCAGCTCTTCCTTGTCTTCCACGCGGAGCAACTTGATGTTGTGCTCGTTGCAGAGCGCCTCAACGAGCCGCGTGTAGCCGTCCTCCGTGCAGTTCTTGGCCAGCAGGCACAGCAGCGCCTGCCGCTTGTCCAGAGCCTTCACCGCCTCGCGGAGTCCGCGCGCCAGCCCGTCGTG